CAACCCGTGAGCAAACTTTTCTCTCCGCATCTCTTCCTAGTAGAGGCTAAAAAAAAGCATTGGCAGCCTCGAGCATTCTTAATGGAACCGGCAGCATTGGTTTAAGTCTGATATGGTGGGCTCTTGGATTTTTAACTTCGACGTGCGCATTCTCTGTCTATCTCGAGTTCACGTCTTACTTTCCTTCGCGATCTGGAGCCGAGGTTGTTTACCTTGAGCAAGCATTCCCACGGCCGCGTTGGCTGATGTCGACGGCATTTGCTTTCCAGACCGTGATTTTGTCTTTTAGCAGCGGAAACTGTTATGGTACGTTGCAAGCTCAATGTTGGGAGTTGGGTAAGTCCAAATAGCTGACTTTGAATCCACAATAGTTCTGGCCGAGTATCTCTTCAAAATGTCAGATCACAGTCCAACCGATTGGCAAATAAAGGGTGTAGCCGTAGCTAGCTACACTGTTGCAGTCATCGGTAAGTTTTTGCAATTAATGGGAAAACGAATGCGAAAAGAAGCTTATACAATACAACAGCTGTGATTTTGCACACCAAGTATGCATATCACTTTGCCAACGTAGTTGGCTTCATCAAGCTTTCTACGCTGCTCTTCATCTCCATCACGGGCTTCGTAGTCCTTGGAGGACATACTCGAATCAAGAATCCGACAGCCAATTTCCAGAATTCTTTCCAGGGTAAAGCTACTGCCTATGGAGCAACGAACAGTTTATACAAAATTATTTTCTCCTATGCTGGATTCGAAAATTCTTTCAACGTTGCCAATGAAGTCAAGGTACGCTTTAATATAACATCTCAGAGATCACAGATGGCCATCATTAATTCGTTCTTCTTCTTACGCTGTTCCATAGAATCCCGTCAAGAAAATTCGACGCACTGGCTTCATTGCCATATGTACCGTTACAGTTCTTTACATTCTGACGGTTGTTGCCTATTATTCTGCTGGTAAGCTACGAAATCTTGATTTGAACATATCACATGCCTAACATGAGGCCTTTTAGTTCCGAAGGAAGACATTATCGGCGGCAAGCTAACTGTTGCCAATCTCTTCTTCATAAATGTTTTTGGAGATAGCAAAGGTATCAGAGCGCTCAACTTGCTGATTGCAATCAGTGCTTTTGGCAACCTAGTAGCGGTGTTACTTGGAAGCTCGAGGGTTATTCGTGAATGCGGTCGACAAGGTGTTCTTCCTTTCACCAATTTCTGGGTGTCGACTTATCCTTTTGGCACCGCTCTTGGACCATACCTGTTCAAATATGTCATTACTCTCGTCATGATCCTCGCGCCTCCTGCTGGAGATGCCTTCAACTTTAGTACGTGATCAAGTAGCTCCATCTTGGCTTGCTCGCTTTCTTTTCCATGCTAACTATGCTTGCAGTTTCTGACCTTGGTGTTTATCCTGGGTCCTTTTTTGACTTTTTGATGAGTGCTGGGCTTCTTATTGTGAGACATAAGCGAAAAGCTCTCAATTTGCCACGGCCCACGTTCAAAGCCTGGGATATTGCTATCTATTTCAGCATTCTCAAAAACCTCTACCTACTCATCATGCCGTGGTACCCTCCGGCAGGAGGAGCAACTGGTGGCGATGTGAGCTTCTGGTATGCTACGTATGTAGTTACCTCTGTCGGCATGTAAGTTGCAATCCAACATGTACTAGCAATTTCTCCTTAGCTCAAGTGCTAATGTCCTTCTAGCCTCGTGGGCTGTGCGGTCTACTTTTGGCTTTGGGTTCACGGCATTCCGTATCTCCGAGGCTACAAAATCCGCGAAGAAGTGATTACTCTCGACGATGGCGCGAAGAGTCATAAACTGGTCAAAGTGCCAAATGCCGAAGTCGAGGAGTGGGATAAGAGGCACGACCATGCTGGACGCATCATCACAGAGGCTTTGGATCCAGTTGATGAGGCGCAGAGCAAGATTTTGATAGCAGGAAAGGATGGCACTTTGTCCACTACACAATAAGTCATTCTCTATGTAGAAAATACAACTTGCTTGCCAACTTTAATCTGACAGCGTTTCATTTAGCTCCATTTTCCGGATAGGCCACTTATTTGCTTCAAGATAAGTTCCGGGCACCCATGCAGCTATCACATGATGGAAATGGGGGCCAAATCTGCTGAGACGTTTCGGCTGCCACTCTTCTTGGTATCCAGCAGGTCAGATCTATACTGGTTATTGAGATTCTCCTTAGATAGACGGAATCAAAATCTTGAGCTCAGACCAGCATACGTGGCGACGCCGGCGCCTCTTGCTGCAAATACACACCGCTATTGCAGCCAAGATCACTCCCTGCTTCGGAAAGTCGAAAACAGAATCCGAGACAAACAAGCCTTGGCACCAGTTGGCCGGCCTATGGGCGCGTAAGCCTTCTGCATGAGTTGAAAGTTATATTCATCTCCTCTTGAGGCTTTGGAACTATTGATAGAGATAATTACATCTATCAAGTTCCAGAACATTGCACTACCCACGAATACCGGTCATCTCTTATTAGTAGTACCACCTGCTGCTAGAATGGCTTCTGAAAGTTTGCATTTTGCAATTGAATCTTTGCTTGATAAACGCTTGCAGTGGTGCAAGGCGTTGTGGCGGTGCTAAAGATAGTGGCAAACATTATCTATCTCGAAGATATGCCAAGACTCTCCTCCATCCTAAGTGTGTAAATGACCCCATTGGTGTTTGCTCGCACGCCAAAGGTTGGCAGAGGACTCTTCAACCGGAATCCTTTCATCCCCACCAATATGTAGCTTAGCCGTTTCTCTTGCTCAGCATAGAATATGGGATAGGTCATCAATACTCTTAGAGACGATGATTCTACATGAAGAAGAAAAGGTATAAGGATTTTTGATAATGACTGTTCAACCTTGTAAAGGCGCAGGCGTAAAGCAGTTCAACCCGTCTCGTCCAGTTCAAACCCTGCGGAACACGAATCACATGGCTAGGCGGATCGTAAGGTATGCATAGCAAATAAGCTTAAAGTGTAGATCAGACAAAATAGGCCAGATCTAAATACGACGCACGCGACGGCCTGATCCGAGCAAAGAGGAATGCACGCCGTCTGCGGGCACGTCTTGGCGCTTATTTTCGGGTCCCTGGTAATCAGTTTAGCCCCCTTTTAACCTCTGCCAAGGCTCCCACGCCGTGGGTTATTGGCCATATATACGTTATCTCCCCGTAATATTTTCGGATTTGCGTCGAAACCGAGAATCTCATTTTGTTTCACATATCAGCTGAGGGCCGAGAAGCATGTTGGCATGGTCATTTTCACATCGCTACTTGGCGCCAATATTAGCTGAAAAAGCTGAAACGACGTAGATATGAATAGTTGCCTTTTATCGCTAGTTCATCCTCCTAACCCGAATACCCATGTAAGAAATGCTTGGCGTGCAAACAGCTACAAATTAGGGTATATTGAAGCGAGATAGGATATAGGATAGATATATCGAATATTCAGTAGCTATATGATCTTTACATACTACTCGTATTTTAGAGCTTATACTACTATCCTTGCGTCTTATAGTCATCTTGAACTTCCGCGAAGGATAAAGCAGAAGCATAGAGATTTCTATGACCTGTTGAGATATGCCATCAATTGCAGAATATTTTGAGGCTACGGCAGTGAAACATCAGCTGAGAGTGGGCCAATCTACTAGTTTTACTATCCGTCGCTATCTCTGGCTTCAGATCGGGCAAGAGAAGAAGAGGTGGAGAGGTGGAGAGCGTGTAACTCGAGAAGATGTCAGTGCGTTGACCAGCTACTTGTCTCACATTCCGTCTGAATGGCGCTTTTCATCAACGTCCAGATGACTTATCATGACAGTTTATTATAGCGAGTGTAGTTGAACTAGCCTTCATGTCTTCATTGCGAAAGTCCATCTTATTAACTAAAGAACAGTTCACATGCTCGCTAGCTTTCCTTGGTCACTTCCATTTTTTCCTTGGTTCTACGCCCCTGGCCGTAAAGAGTCAATGCGCAGTTACCCAGGCATATGCGCCTCGCCGAAGACTTGTCTTCTTCTTCCCGTTTCCAGCCGCCGGCAGCACTCGCCACGCGGATAAAAGCGTTCGAAATGACGAATCAAATAGTACCAAGATGCCACACGTCGATTCTCGATGCTGTCGTGGCCTGGAGAAGTTGGGGGCGCGAGCTAAACTCGGATCTCCCGCTGTCACTGTCTTGTAGCGACAGATGATTGGACTTGAATACGCACATTTGTTTGTGCGAAGGCTCCTTCTTATCCCCTTTTTGATACACATGATGCTACCATTGCTTGTTGTGGAGGGTCTGTGCGACAAAAGACCAACTCCTGATTGCTCTGGCTGAGGAAAAGTTGCTCTATGCGTGAAGTTAGAAGTGGGCAAACCCCAGCTTAGAAGTATATGCAAGGAGGACAGTGATCAAGGGCAGGATTTATATATAAGTGAAGAATGCCAACTTGATTGCGTTCATGTGTGCATCAGCCAAGTCTTGTCTTGTCAGTGATTAGCACAGCCTCAACACTGGTCAGCATAGCTGCTATCATTCACCTACAAAGCCCCATCTTCCACTTTTTCCGTCTTTTTATTCCCATTCTCTACGTCTGCTCCCAGGTGCATCCTACCAGAGCAGATTTTCAGATATGATGGATGTTATGGTCCAGACGTTTGTGAAGGATGATAGACTGTGCAAGAAATATGCACAGTTTGCATCCGATTTAGATCGATGGCATTTCAGAATCATCTACTGGTTCATGTTCGTACTGAATCTCATAATTCTATTTGTTGCCTCTTGGACATATACAAAGTACGTCATCACTACTCCTCCATTGGTTCGCTGAGAGCTCGCGTCAAGGTACATACACAAGATTACATGGAAACTAACATATCTTTTCCAATGACAGGGGCCAAGAAGCCATCGAGCTATACAGCCATGACCCCCGGAAGCGATCAAGAAAGCTAGTCAAGTACATGCTGATGTGCCTCGCCTGCGTCCTCGTGTCGACTGGCGTCGTTATCATGGAAGCCTTTGCTCTTCTGGCCCTACAGTTCTGCGATGGCGAGAATCTGATATCCCTTTACTGGTCTACATGGACTATGACTCAAGTCGGGTCGCTAATAGCCATGATGGGTATCATTCTCGCCATGGCACACTCATGGAGAAACAGAAGGCATCCGTACGTTTCTTTCCACTCATGATCAGACGGGATTCAAGATACTAATCATGACTTCAAGACCATGGGCTCTTGCTTTAGGAACACCAGTTCTCGTTATCGCCGGGCTGTTGCACCTCATTCACGACTGCGTAAAGAAGCGAATCAACCAGTTCATGGAAGGTCCTACAAGGAGGAATAGCGTTCTTTCTGTAAGCGAAGTGTAAGAATGCCTACATGTACTAGCCTTGTCACAGCTTTCACTCGCTAATGATCAGTAATGGCGTCTAGGAACACCATTCAGGGAAATGTCGAAGACGACTTTGAGAATTCGACCTCAGTTTTGGGCGAATTCATTGGTTTCACAGTGGACGGCGGCCCTATTGTCCGTTTCAGCGGCCCTGTTCCCCTAAATCTCAACCCTGACGGTGGTGGAGCCGAATTACTGGGATATTATGATGGCACTCGACCTGTGATAGCATACCAAAAAGGGTCCATTCAATTTGTGCCTGCACCTTCAAAGGGAAAAGCACGCGAGCAGAATGAACCTCAGCAGCCAGACGAAGAGAAATGCGAGGACAAAATACAGGTAGTCCTATCGGAGACGGTTTAGGGAGAGTGAGAAATGAGGAGATTATGTTTTTTCTTGTTAATGTTTTGACAGACGTATTCATGTATACATGCAAGGGAGATATTATATAGTGAAGTTTCTAAATCTTTTTACAGCCTATTTCCCTTCTCCACCCAAAACCAATGTGGCATATATGCTAGTTATATTACCAAACCATGATCCTAGCGAACAAAGAGACTATATCTCAAGATTCTGGAGTCACTTTCCCCCCAAAAAGCAAATCTAGTAGACTATTGTAAAATGCATCTACTGATGGCTCGCGGCCGAGAAAGTCGACTAGATTCTGAAAGCCATCTCTACTTCCACCACTTTCAAGCACGCATTTGCGATAACGCTGCACTCTCTCTGTGTCCAGAATATTGTTCTGGAATTCGCTGTAAAATAAATCCGCAGCGTACACCTTGGAGCTGCCAACCAAAGGTCAGACCGTGTTCTGTCATAAATCACCACCATGCAGTTTTAACTTACTAAAGATAGGCGTAATAGCCAGCAGTATAGTCATTCATCATTAGGCGTATGAATGTAGTGTATCCATGACCTTGTGTGTAATCCTCCTGTCCATCAATAAGTCCAATTTCTTTCCGCGATTTGTTCCATAGCACTGTAAGATCCACGGATTCCGCCTCGTCATCACTACAGAGCTGATGGATGGCCATATCGAAATAGGCACGATGAAGCTGATCAAGTTGGAATAGCGGTCCAAATATGAACCGGTTAGCCTTTATCAGTGCCTCAATAAGCTCGTCTGGCATTTGGAGCTCAGGCTGCACCTTGCCTTCATTTTGTTGCTTCCACAAAGCAAGCATGTATGAGTAGTGGAAGCTGAGAGACTTGATCTGGGACGGTGTCCAGCACCAATACTCGAGCATCTGGCTTGGCATCTCGCCAAAGTCAACTGGTACGCCTTCTGGACCGTGGAAAAGGGAGTACTGAGTCTTGGACACCAGGTCGTGGATGCCATGGCCCAGTTCATGAAGCATTGTTACTACCTCGAAATGGCTCAGCAAGGTTGGTTTGCTTGGTGTTGGCTTAGAAAATGCTCAAAGTAATGCAGTCGATGGGCAATGGCGCGTTGCATCCCTTCTGATAAAACCCTGTAGGACAGTTCAATTAATGAGACAAATGTTCTGCGGCTTGCCGGCCATATCGGCGCTCCTTCTGAGGTAAAATATACTGACAGGTTGCAAATTGAAGCACGACTCTCCCGGATATTTGCCCTCTCGATGAGAGAGGTCAAGATATAAGTAACCAAGAAACGCACCCCCATTAGTTTCACCATCTTGAACTGCAAACATCTGGACATCTGCGTGCCAGACCATGCTGTCAGCAGTCTTGATCTCATCGAACGATAGGTCAAACAGTTGGGCTAGTAGATTCAAGATGGCTGTTATCGTATTTTGTAAAGGGAAATATTCCTTGATACGTGCTCTGTCAATAGATGTCCCAGATTTCAACATTCGGTTGCGATAAAAGTCATAATCCCAGAGGAAGAACTCGCCATTATTCTCATCGGTCTTCGTGTCGTTCTTCTTGAAATCCTGCAATATCCGTAATGACGCAACTCCATAGGGTGTCAGCTTGGATCGCATATCTGCCAGGAAGTCATTTACGTGGCCTGGAGTCTTGGCTATCCTTGATTGTAGTTGGAAAGCGGCATAGTTGGCGAATCCCAGCAGCTTTGCCATTTCATACCTGAGTCGTACAGCTTCCTGAACAAGGGGCGCATTTCCCTTGCATCTGTTTTGGATCGCAACATACAGTTTTTTTCGCGTCTCGCCCTTTTCAGCGAACGAGAGAATGTCCCTGTGCACAGGATTAGACAAATCGATCCTAAGCGTATTGTTGCCAGAGTTATTTTCGAGTTGCTTGACGATAGAGTCAGGGACACCATCCAGCTCAGCCAATGTAAGAAATATTTCATCTGTCTGAGAACCAGGAGTCTCGCAGAATTCTGCGTGGATCTGGCTCAGACGGCCCTGGATTTCCTTGAATCGCTCTCTGGACACAGTATCCCGTATTCCCAAGCCCGACCGAGTAAATTTGTTATAAATCGTCTCCAGAAACAAAGACGATTCGTTCGAGATTTCTCGGTATTAAGATATACAGCATCAACAAGTTTAAAAACGTCGTCCCTCATCCAGCATTAATTACGGAAACTGTCAAAGAGAGTCTGCGCCTTCGCTGACGCGGTGCGGATGTCTCCATTTGCAGAAACCTGTCGATAAAAGCAAAGTACATTGGCCTTGACGGCGAAATCATTCTGCATTTGCGCAAGAGGAAGCATCACATTGGCAAAGGTTGCTTGCTCAGGTGCAATGTTTCGAACCAATTCGTCTCTTTGATGCTTTGACTCTCTTACTAAACGCTCGGCATCTGCTGTAATGGAAGCAGGTGTGGCGGAAAAATTGAGGGAGGTCTGAAGCATCTTGCAACTCTAATATGATATTGATTAACTTTTGAAATAGTTTATATTGATTGACTTTCGAAATAATGCACAAAACCTTATCAGCGACGTAGCTTGCATGGAAAGAAAGCGCCTTTGGCTGTTGGCCCGCAACCTCTATCCCCCAACAGCCGTTTAACTGTACTACCCCGCTTCGTGCTGCTTTAAGCTACATGTCCTGCTTATATTTACATTTAGAGAAATCCGTGGATAGTTTACCCTTTAAGGGATACCCGATAGCCCGTCCCAAAGATATGTCTTTACTAAGCCGTGCCAAAGTAGCATCTAGCGCTCTTCCAGAGATAGTTGCCTTGAGGAGATCGGGTTGACACACACCCACGACCAGATTGATGGTAAACTGTAGTGGCCTGTTCCCCTCCATCGCAGGAAAACCCGGTATACAAAGTGCAATATGCCGCAACCGGAGTGCTGCTGCCGTAAAAATAGGCCCCAGCAAGATTGAGGCTAGCCGTTCCAGAAGGTTGGGAGAATTTAAGGCACGTATCCTCGGGGAAACTAGGATCCGCGTCGAGGTAAGGCCAGGCATGATCGGACTCTCCTATGTACTTTGTACACTGGGAGTCGGAGTAGAAGTTGAGTTGTATGGCTTCGTTGGTCGAGTAGGCAGTGGTGGAAGCTGTAAGGCTGGCAATAGCCGCGAGAAAAATTGATTGAGAAAGCTTCATATTGGGGGGAGATTGATGTTGCAGCTTGGTGAAGGAAGTGCAATTGTTAAAGAGAGGTGAAAACTTTGAGAGTGGTTTGTCGGATGAAGCGAATCTATGCTGATAAATGGTGGTCCTGCATGGTGAGGTTAAAGATGGCAATCGAGTATTCTTTATACTTGAGTCTATAATTAGACATGATATATATTACACCGCTATTATACCATTACTTCGAACTAGATTCCAGTAGCTGAAAAGACCCCGTATATGCTCACTGACTTGTAAGACCTTGCTAACAAATACTCCAGATTTATCTCCGAAGAGCTCGCGACGTTGTATTTAGTATCATTTGTTAGTGGAAAACAGGTAACAAATTTTCTATTTATACCTACGTGTATAATGCAGGCAGAGTAAGATTTTGATTCTCAATTAAATTCCCGATTTAGTAATCCGAACACCGGCATAAGGAGATCGTGTTGGTGTTGTTACTCCAATTTAATTACTCAGGACCAAAAATGACCCGGGCTAGAGTTTCCTATTGATAGTAATATCCTGAAAAGGAAAACTCTGGCGGGGACTTGCTGGAATTGGACGCAATACATACTAGTTGGAATAAGAAGGAAGGAAAGACAAATTTGGCGAAGTCGTCAAGCGTTCAAGGTAGGTATAGCAAGTGGTTCAATCACAGCCGCCTAGCGCATCGCATCGTGTCTAAAACACGTACCTTACTCGCTTACGTCGAAGTCGATAGCCTGAGACACGTAGTTGTGAATGTAGAACATGATTACTGGGTATAACTAGGTGCATTCAACAATACAACTGGGCAATTACTTTAGCAATACAGAGGACAAATCAAAGCTCTCCATGTTTATTCCTCAGCGAGAGAGGAAGAAGTTTATTTGAGGCTAATAGACGCGTGCTCAATACGAGCAATCATCCGAAATTAATGTCGACTCTTGTCATGGAACATAGAGAGCCTACGGCATTGATGATCCGTGGTTTGAGCGCTAGGAGACTTGGCTTAGCTTTGGTACGTTAATATGATGCACAGTTCAAATGCAGGCCTCGAATAGAGGCGGCCCCACCAGAGTCACTAAGCGAAGAATGCGTACGACTGCATAACAGTTGGAGTTGACGTTCTGAAATCGTGACAGAGGTATACTATATGCAATATATCGTGTGAGCAGGCTTCAGTTCATCAGAGGTCGGCCAATTGCACTTGGCCTTGTCAGTACTTAAATATACGACCATAAACCAGATATTAAGCCAGATAGATAGAATGCAATACTCACAAGTTGCCTCGTATAAGTGCATCCTTTCAAGAGCTGGGTGCAGCATATCAGATGTGCCACTGACAAGCTGCTCTTAGTGAGAGGCAAGTAAAGAGAGGTAGCATCAACATCAATGTGAATATGGCGGGGCTAAAACTCGGGCCAAAGCGGCGCTCCGCTCATCGGCGCTTCTGCTGGAAACTTGCTCGCAACATTTCCACGTCCATGTCCATCTTACAAATCAGCCGCCGAGAGCCATTCGCAAATACGTCCTCCTGGCCACTTTGGCAGCGCTTCTGATGCGCTTTGTTGCGCCATCTACGCACAGATTTAGCAGAGCAGCAGAATCACTATGGGCCTAGAAAAGGTCAAGCACATTGTGCTGGTGCGTCCATCACCCCGCCATGTCTTTCACGCCATGTCATTCAGTTTATCAGCAATACCGGCAATACCGGCGGCGCATCAATCAACTAACCTCTGCTTTTAGGTGCTGTCCGGCAAAGGAGGCGTGGGCAAGTCCTCGGTGACAACGCAGCTGGCCCTGTCTCTGACGCTCGCCGGCCACTCGGTGGGAATCCTCGACGTCGATCTGACCGGCCCGTCCATCCCGCGCATGCTCTCGATCGAAGCGTCCAAGGTCACGCAGGTGCCAGGAGGATGGGCGCCGGTTACCGTCCACGAGGCCGATCCGGAGAATGGGCTGGGCAGCCTGCACGCCATGAGCCTGGGATTCCTGCTGCCCAAGCGAGGCGACGCAGTGGTCTGGAGAGGCCCGAAAAAGACGGCCATGATCCGGCAGTTCCTCAAGGACGTGCTGTGGGCCGAGACGGACTACCTGCTCATCGACACGCCGCCGGGGACCAGTGACGAGCACATATCGCTGGCCGAAACACTACAAAAGGATGCTCGGCCGGGTCAAGTGGCCGGCGCAGTGGTCGTGACGACGCCGCAGGCGGTGGCAACGGCGGACGTGCGCAAGGAGCTCAACTTTTGCGTCAAGACGGGCATCCGCGTGCTTGGAGTGGTGGAGAATATGAGCGGCTTTGTGTGTCCGCACTGCTCGGAGTGCACCGACATCTTTGGGTCCGGGGGCGGACGGTCCATGGCAGAGGAGTTCAAGGTGCCTTTTCTGGGCTCGGTGCCGATCGATACACAGTTTATTACACTCGTGGAAGAGGGCAAGCGGCCGTTTTATCCGGTGGGCACGGTGGTGAATGGCCGGGACATTTCAACGGCGCCTTCAGAGGGCGATGAGAGGCAGGGCAGCAGAGATGATGGGACGCTTGTGGACAAGTACAAGGACTGCTCGCTGTTTCATGTATTCGCGGACATCACCGCACAGGTTGGTGAAAAGGTCAGGATAGAGAATACATGAATGTGTGTTACTCCTAGCCCCTGGTGATGTGCGGGAGCGCAATATGCAGTGACGGAGCTATGGCTAGCCGTGAGTGCTGTGAGACGTTGACATGCTGTCCCGGTAGAGAGCGGACGCTCCCGATGTTTGCTGCCTGCCTGCATGTAGACTTAGTAGTGCTGCAATAAGCCATGGTATTACCTCATCCATGTGGATGCTCGATGAGACAAGTTGGCAAGGCATGGACCCGGAGTGTCTATGCTGCGACATGCTACTCCTAGCTGTATATGTAGCTATTATCGAAATATAGCGTCAGCATTCGACCTGCAGCAGCTGTCCCTCGCATTGAGCACTGCTGTGAGCACGTATCACAATGAATATTGATATTACACGTGGTTGTGCAGCTACATCAACCCATTCTTGCCAGGTGCATCATATACTGTAAGCACAGATTTGGCCGGCATCGTGCACCACCTGTCTAGCCCACCGCAGCAAGTCTCAAACTCAATTGCTCGGTTGTAGGTGGCGCAAACACCGACAGCAACAACAGAGCCGGCAGAGCATTCTCTCCGCAAAGAACTAGTCTTATCAGACGATATCGAAGCCTGGGAGTCTCTCTAGCAATATCCCAGCTTCAATCGTGATACAGCAGAAACTACTTACCTGCATCAACAACGCAATTTCGTCATCTTGTATCGGAAAAAAAGAGGCGTTTGCAGCCTGTTTCTTGATCCGGCGGCAGCCCCGCCGTCCCGCCCAGCCAGAAATGCTAAAAAGAGTTTGCACCGCATTACGTATCGTGCCATGTACCTGGCCATCAATTGTGGGGACCTTTAAAAAAAAATCAATTCCAGAGATTGTGATGTGAGCTGCAGCTGTTATTGAGTGCAGCAGTTGTGCCATGGATGGTGATTTACAGATATACGTGTAGTGTCTTGATATCTTGTAACTCTCAGATTGTGCTAGCAAATCGTCTCTTGTCACATCTACTGTCTCACTCTCTGAGCAGCTTATAGTAATACAATATTACGTCGTAGTCAATTTAATGTAGGGAGACGCCTTGCCACGTCCTTTGCAGCTCGTCTCAGTCATTTTCGCCCATCAACTCCTTGCGTGTTAGTGGAGACCTACCGCCAAAAAGTACCCGGCGGTACCTGCGCACAGCACCTGGCCCGGCCCTGTAGCGCCGCGGCCAAGTACTGCAGCGTACCCATCGCCCCCGATTGGGCTGCGTCGAGCATCACACAAACACACAGCACAGCACAGCACAACCCTCGCTGCCAAAATCAAAACCACAGCGCACAAACAAACAACTGCAAAACTCTGTTGCCGCACTGCTGTCCGCCTTTTTTGCCGTCACTGAGCCACCTCTGAGGCATCCACAGTAGCTCTTCTTCTCCTCCACCCGCCGCCGACCAACGAGCGACTCGCCTTATCTCGTCCCCGCGGGGAGATACTGAAAAAAAAAAAAAAAAAAACACTAAGGGGAAAATATCGCCCTACTGCTTGCGCCTCCAATTTGCGCCTCCTACTCTATCCGCAAGCACCGTCACACGACCGCCTGTCTGTTCGGAGAAAGCCTCCTGTAGCTCTTCTCTGTTTAATTTCACTTTGCTGGATATGAGGAGCTAGACGTTCTTCTGTCCGCGAAAGACACTCCACCGGCCGCTTCTTGCAGTGGCCTGCCCGACCCTTCTCTGGTTCTTCCCTGCCTTCTATGCGATCAACTGATCTCCTGCGATTCCTCTTCTCGCGACCTTCCAAGTATGTTTCATTGTTCACTTAGCTTCCAGCGTCTTTATCTAGGGCTGCCAGCAGAGCTCCATCTATAAACCTGATAGCCATGTGTGTACGCTGAAAGCTAACCAAGCTTCTCCTCCCAGGCCTCGATAGCACCCCTTCAAGAAACACAGATATTGAATAGCTTCCAAATTCCGCCCCGTCTATACCAATCCGACCGCCGCTCTCGGTATTCCCCTTCAATCGGGAATCACAGCTCTCCGCGCAACATTTCGCCACAGAATCGGTTCTTCTACCCTCTCTGTCCTCAGCCTCCTTGACGTCTTTCCACAGACGTTGGGCTTTTCATAATCTCCCATTGCTGCTGGCTTCCGCCAGCGTCGTTGGACTCGCCACATTCCTGTGGGCCTACTCTCTCAAGCAGACGCCGCAAAGTCTGTTTGAGTGGCAGCTAGTGCTCCGCGGACTCGTCGTCAGAGGGGCATCACAGCGTTTTCTTCCTTGAGTTGCAGTCATTTTCAAAAATGGCCAATCTCTCAGTCCCCAACAATTACACCTTTTCCCCCTCGTCGGCAACCCACTTGACAATCAACCACGATGTGGCTGCCGAGTTGGACTCCACCTATGCCTTTGAAGGTACGTTGCTTCATCAGCATTCACTTACACTCCTGTCTATCCATGAATATACTCACTAACACGCATATCCAGGCCCTGAAAAGCTGCTAGAGGTGTGGTTTGCGCCCAGTGCCTCGGCACTGCCCACGGGCGCCCGGCCCAATGGTCTCAAGGCTGTGGCTGCTGATACTTGGGTGTCCATGCTTGACATGGTCAACTGCAAGATCCTCTCGGTTCTCGAGTCCGAGACTGTAGATGCCTATCTTCTGTCCGAGTCCAGCATGTTCGTCTTCCCCCACAAGCTCATCCTCAAGACTTGCGGCACCACCACCCTTCTCCTGGGACTCCAGCGCATGCTCCACATTGCTGCTGAACACGCAGGCTTCACCTTTGACAACGCTGCGTCTGCAACCGACATCAAGGCCGTCGCCACTCCTTACCGCGTGTTTTACAGCCGCAAAAACTTCCTCTTCCCTGACAAGCAGCATGGCCCTCACCGCAGCTGGAAGCAGGAGGTCAAGTACTTGGACGACATGTTTGACGGCGGCAGCGCCTACATGGTTGGAAAGATGAACGGCGACCACTGGTACCTCTACATCACGTCTCCGAACAAACTGTTTACGCCCCCCTTGACTCCTGACTCGGAGAGCAACGAAGTGGCTCCGACCAGCTTCTCGATTCCCGCCAGCTTTGGCAGGGCGGGATCTGTGGCCAATGCCTCTGACGAGACGCTCGAGATTCTGATGACGGATCTCGACCCGGAGAATGCCAAGCAGTTCTACCTGTCACACGCGAGTGCGGTCGCGTGTGATAAGATGTCCGCCGAAGCCAAAAAGGCTCGCCAGGACGCTGCCGACAGCCTTGGCGGACTCTCGACTCCGCTCGAGGAGGTGGACGTCTTTGCCGATGGCATCGAATCCGACTTGCACGAGCCGATCGAGAAGCTCAATGAGATTGAGGCCCTGACCACCGAGGGACACGCCCTAGGCACTGTCGTGACGGAGCAGTGCGGCCTCGCCGACGTATATCCTACCTCGGTCTATCCCGATGCCCGCATCGACTCCTACCTCTTCAGCCCATGCGGATTCTCGGCCAACGCCATCATCCCTCCCCCTTCTGCTGAGGCCGAGACCCAGGGCGGCAACAACGCCGGACACTATTTCAGCGTCCACGTCACCCCCGAAACTGGCTTCTCGTTTGCCTCGTTCGAGACCAACGTCCCAGGGGGCCAGAGCGGACGCACCACCGCCGAGATCATCGAGCACGTTGTCGAGATCTTCAAGCCGGGCCGCTTCAGCGTCACCTTGTTCGAGGCCAAGGGCCGTGGCGACAACCCCTACGGCTTGGCCAATCCCGATTCCAAGGGCGCTGCGGCGCTGCGAATTGTTGATTCCGTGCGCGGATACCGCCGCATTGATCGCATCGTGCACGATTTCGAGGATTATGACCTTGTTTTCCGCTTTTATGAGCGCGAGGGATGGGCTGGAGACAAGAAGGCCCGTGTTGGCGAAGAGATGTAAGGGATGGATTCAGTTGGATTTTGAAAAGACGTGTTGGATTTGGGCTGGGTCTCGAGGAGATGCTCTCTCAGTTTCATTCTGGACATTCCTTTTTGGGCGAAATCTTGACGCTCTCATCTTGGATATTTGTTTGTTATGCATAGTTTGCTTTTTTGTTGATGAAAATGTTACAACGTCTCATTTGAAAGATTGAAAGTCCTTAGTGGTTGTCTTAATAGTGATCATATTAAATCCGTTAACCTCATCCATCTTGAACTCGAGCTTGGACGGATTAATCACAGCTGACTGTATTTGTACTAGCGCTGTGGCTTATCGATAACGCCGGCGCTCCACTCACCAATTTTTTTCGCCCAGGGCCAAAGGCGCATCACCAAAAACTTCATCCTCGCTCCTCGCCAAACCCACGAATCCAGTGACCAATTGACACGCCACATCACATCCGGTGCCATCACACTCTCTCTTCAACTACAGTCACGCCAAAACAACCGCCCACCATGCATTTGATGTACACCCTCGACGCCAGCGGCAACCGCCTCTACACCCTCAAAAAGGTCGCCCACGGCCAGGTCACCAAGTCTGCGCACCCCGCGCGCTTCTCGCCCGACGACAAGTGGTCTCGCCAGCGTGTTACGCTGAAGCGCAGATTTGCGCTGCTCCTGACCCAGCAGAGTGAGTGAAGACTCGTTACAATTCTGTTTGCTGGATATGCTGTGTCTAACGCTGTGATTATCAGAGGCTGAGGCTATGTAAATTGGCGACATTGGGATGCCTTTGAGGCGATCGGCAAGCCATAGCGACTCGTTCGGTAGAATCCATTATGAGTGTATCTTCTTGCGCAATATCACCGACAACCTTTTCACGGATATCACCAAGAGGTGGTCAACGCTTCGATGGGAAGGATGTGTGAGCAGGCACTATAGGAGGAGTGGGAGTTGACGACAGGAGACTGCCTCGAGAGATTCGAGCAAATCTAGCAAAGAGCTCTCCGGCTGAATGAGAGAGGGTAGTTGGAAAAATACTATCTGGAATTGGGAAAACTTTTTTCTTCTCCATGATTGATCGGGAACCTAAAAGGGAATTTGGCGTTTACTAGGCGACTGGTAGTAGGAGAATCTACCGTTTCGTATCAGCTGTTTATGTGTTTATTTAGGTACATTTGCATTTACGCAAGATAAAAAATACAAACCTTATTAGGAGGATAATTCAAGGAATTACTGACATGTCTTCCAACTTCAATGTAGTTTTCAGTGTCCTGAAGCGACTGAACAATTTATTATTTTAAGCTATTTTTCCTGCATGTGTGTAAAACAGATGTATACAATCTTATCGACGTAGTTTGTAATGCTTTTATTATGAAAGACTACCCAAAATCCTAGAAGAGATCATTCTTGTCACTTACCATATATGTCAAACAACCTATTCAGCTGTGCGCAAGTAATTGGACCAGAGAGCACTAAAATACCGAGGCCTGTGTCATAGTCAAGGGGTCCGCGTACTTCTTACTCTGCTTTGGCTCGCCATAAATTTGCCCCACCATTCTTCATATCCAGTTTTGACTCCCTATCCGACTCTAAACTCTTCAGCGAAGTCGGCAGGTCGTTTGCGAATGAGTCACTTCTCTGCTCCGGATTCCGTGCTTTCGGTAGCCTACTCGCATGAGAAGTCATCGGTGACACCTCTGGTATGCTTGCGAGCGTATAGATAGGCCATGGCCTGCCGGCTTCTCCTGATTTGCGGCGCTGGTGATGTGATGTGTTTATTCTCTCTGGCTCGGACTGTTGGCTCTTATCTCGCGTTAGTGTACATGCCATTTCAAAGGTGCAGTGATTATGATGCGGTTTGTGTTTTCATACTGTTTTTGGTTTCTGGATATTCGCCCTAGTGATTGCTAGGCAGTCATCGCGAGCCTTCTTCAGCCCTGTAACTTTCCGTTCTAGATCTTCTCGTTTGGTTTTGTTGTGCTCGTCTTCTGCAGCTAGGCTGGTCAATGTCTGGTCGTCCATCTGGATCAACTCTGATATGTCAAAGACAGTACGTAGTCCGTCAATGAGATGTCGCTCAGCCACCTGCACTATGACGTTGGATATAAAGATATTGGAGGCAAGCTACAAACGATGAAGTTAGAAGTGCTTCTGAACAGGGGATAATCGCACTCTAAAAAGCCCACACACCTCGTAATACACCAACATCCTTTGTACAATCTCTCCAGCTGGCGATACTTTTTCGGATGCGGAACGATCTTGCAACTCCTTTAGCCGCCTAAAATACTCGGGACCGTAGATCGGGTGGCACCTCCGACGGTCCAATAAGAGCCTCTCGAGTTCTTCCTTGGCTCGAGTTTGGAGCGCTTCAACCTTTTTGTTCAGAAGCGCCGACCATAGGTGCGCTCGCATGCGTTGCGGCCAGACATGATTCACAACCTGCTGTAGGAACTGAGTGACGATGCCCTGCACCTTGTCCTGGTGGTTATGAGCGATCTTGTCCCACTTGGCCGAGTAATTGGTAAACAACAGAAAGACAATCGATGGGTCGTAGTCACCAGGTAATTGCTGTCCCACATATGCATAGAGATATCTCTGCACAGTTTTTGTCTCGTAATCCTCCATCTTCACACGTAAAGGCGAGTCCTCTGAGTCGGCATCCTCGGGATTGTCGTACTCCCTATCTGGCACACCCTTACCGACAAGGCGCACCTGGCAGCCACGAGTTCTCATCTCTTTCTCAAACTCGATGTTCTCCCGCCTGATGCGCGCACGGAGATTTTGAGGCGATATCTGTGTGAAACTCTCATTGTCTCCTATGTGAAAAAAGCCACGTTGGTCAAGGTAATGACCATTGATGCCAGACTTTATGAGGCTTTGAGAGCGAGAGAAGAGCTTCGATACCTCTGATTTCATTTCCGGTACAGTGTCGACACGATGTCCCAGGGCGTCAAGCTCTTCCTCAGAGCGCGCAAGTCCCTCTTGTATCTCTTTCAATAGTTGAGGCAAGTAGCCTTTGATGTGTTCAAAGAGTAAGTCACTCAATTTGGCGACCAGGGACTCAACACCACGTGCGTCAGCTCGCAGCGTTTTCCATTTGCCTTGGGTGAAGAACTCTTCTTCTTTCTGGTTACGAACATCGGTCTCCATGTTCATCTCCATCTCATGTGGGGTTCGGTTTCGCAGGACATGCCAGCCTAGTTTGAGCTTGATATCCTCATTTTTCACTAGCTTCAAGAACTTGTCCTCAAGTACAACGTCATTCGACAATAAATCGGGCTTCGTGACGATACCGAGCGTCCGGACACCTCCTTTGTCGCACTCGGAAACTTTATCCAAGACCACTTGGGTAGCATAATGAGTGCTTCCCGCAACAACAGCCAGTATCACAGTCCGCGGCCTGCTCATATAATCCACTGCAATCTCGTTGATGGCCGCAATATCGTCTTTAGTCTGCTTGCTGTTTGCTGCATGGATAAAACCCGGAAGATCAATCAGCGTAAGCAATGGCATTGTCGGTCCGCAGATATCTATCGTCATGATATCGCGCGAGGCAAATCTCCCCGAGCCAGTCTTATCGCCGTCAAAGATGGCATCCTCGCATTTCTTGATACAGTCGCTGAGCTGATCTTTGTCTGTTATCGGCCAGCGGAGCTGAGAAAATTTATCTTTATCCTCAGGACTCCGGCTTTTGCTTGGAATAATGCCGACGGAGATGTTGTCAGTGCCACGGCGTAAACGATACTCGGTTGCAAATCTTGTACAGCCGTCAGGATCTTTAGGGATTGGGATGCCGGAAATGGCATCAAGGACGGAGCTCTTGCCGGCCGACTGATCTCCGACCACGACAAGCTGTGGCAGCTTCACATCCTCGGGCGTGGCGGACCGCAGACTGTCGATGACATCCAGAATGCGAAGCTGCTCCTGGCCTAGCCCCCGAGCCTGGCCAGCAACTTCACTTACATTGCTCGAGTTTCCATTCGAAGCCATCTTCGAAGGAATTTCTTTGGTTGACGAAACATTAGCCATATTGTTTCGAGATGGATTATGCCTATTGAGTTTATTGCCACGATAGATACGAGAGCCCAAGTGACCGTGGGTGAGGTTGACATAAATAGGCACTCGCTACTAGGTGCCAAAGTCGCGCTTTGCCCTCGGCGTTTGTGCATCTAAATCAACCGATGTTACATTGAGGCCATGAGCAGTACCATTGGCCGCAACGAGCAGTTGAAGTAAAGAGGTGGCCCCGTAGCTGCACCTATGCTTCGAGGCAAGGTTGAGGCAGTGATTGGCGACACGGCACACGCGTTGATGCAGCGCGGTGAATTTTTGATAATATTTGGGTGGGCACCGCCTCCTGGATCTTGGTTGGCGACGTCTCTCATGGCGGCCGAGACCCTTATCTCGCAACACAGCCTTGGGCCGCTATGCTCAACAGGTTGGGGCGCCTTGCGCAGTGGCAAGGCTGGGCATCTATCAGGTGTTCGGTATGGACTTGTCCAATGGGGCTGGACCACGTCAGTCACCTGAAAAGCAAGTATAACGGTTGAGGAGAGAATCAGTACGGATTACTTGCATTGCGTGCTCATCACCGCTAGTTCAGCGTTGTTGTGTGCTCGTTGCATCAAGCCCAAAAGGCGTCGCATTTGAGGCGCCGACTCTCTACCGTGATGGACGACGTCTCCAACAACGCCATGGATCCTATCGTCATGATTATTGCGGCATCCTCATTGGTCATCTCCCTGACCAAAGCCAGCAAATCCCTCTCCAACCTCAGGGAGGGCTTTCACGAAGCGCCTATGGTCCTTTGATCTTTTCAGTCTATTGTATTCCATTTTCCCAATCTCATTACTCGTGACATACAGTTCTAGCCAGCCGTTTTCTGCCCCTTACCTCTTCCGTCTCGAGTTCACATTCCGCCCAGCACCAACCTTAATCTTGCCCCCCGCTCCAGATCTATGGCCCGTCAAAAGCCCCGGCAAGAAATCATCATCCATGAGATCCTTCTTCCTCTGTCTCCGCTGCTCATCCAGCGCCTTGGTATGCTCCTTTTGATCCTCGGTCAAGATCAGATCCTTACCCCAGTTATTCTTGCCGCCCACATGCTTGGGCAGTCTCCCGTTGGCGCTGCCATGGACCGGCTTCGGCACGCTAAACACATTTCCCCTCGTGTTCCACTGGAAGCCCTGCTTGAGGTGGATCTTGAAGTTTCCGTGCTGGTCCGTCGAGCAGCTTGTCCTGGTGAGGGTGCTTTGGCCGCACTTGGGGCAGAACTGCTTGTCCATGTCCTTTGTGATGTTGAAGCAGCCGTGGCAGCGCAGCACCCACGTCTTGAGATATGTGATGCGGGACATGGACGGCGTGACGAGATTGAGGTTGATGCGCAGTGCGACGTTTTGCATGGCGTAATCGGAGGTCAGGATGGCGGCCTGGAGAGTTTTGGGGGGAGCATTGTCGTTGGTGCCGTTGGCGCCAGAGTCTTTGGCCTGTTGCTTCTTGAGGTTGGAGGGAGTGATCCATCCTTCCTCGTCTGAGTCTTCTGAAGCCTCTTGGGGCTGTTCTTCAGGCTGTGCTGCTGAAGAGGGCTCGGGAGCGTCCTCGACAGCTTCTGATGGGTTGGACTCTTCGATTTGCGCTTCACCGCTGCCCGAGGCTTCCAGGCTGAGACCCTGCACATCATTGCTGAGCTTTGTCTCGGTATCTGGCTGAGGCTGAGACTCTGTCTGGTCATCTGCGGCTTCTGTGCCAAGTTCAGAGTCGACATGTTGAGCCTCCTCGGCTTTCTCCGGTTGCTCCTTTTCCTCCTCTGTTGGCTGTTTAGGCTGCGGCCGCCCATTCACACTTTTCTGGCCCGGCGTATTCCTCAGTCTCCAATCGCCGCCATTCCTCTCAATCTCCAGCTCATATCCCAGCGCAAGCACCTCCATATCCGGCTTGCTGAGCACTCCGTAGTCGCCAGTCTTCTTCGCAAAGTCGGCAATGAATTTGAGGCTCTCCGGCCTTGGGGATCGTATGGTGACAAATGGCAGCAGTGTCGTTTCGACTCGAGAGCGGGTTGTGGCGTCGCGGATCTCGCTGATGATGTTGGGTAGGGTGTAGAGCTTTTCGGCTTTGGAGATGAGGACGCTGGCAGGAGGGTCGTTCTTGATCAATGGACCCGTATCGAGGACCAGGCTGTGAATCGGTTTGAAGGTTGTGACAGCTGGAGTCGCTGATGGCTCGGGTTGAGCCAGTGGGGTGGCCATGATGGCGTTTTGTATGGTGGTCCAGCAAGAGTCTTCGAGTTTGATGGAGATAGTTTCGAGTCGCAGAGTAATTTGAAATGTCTTCGAATGGCAAATTGCACAACAGAGCAGGATATGGGTTGGTATGGCTAACAAAACAGCCTTGGCGATGCTTGGATGTCGCTTTTTTTGGAGGGGCAATATCGCTGCACACAAAATTTAGATGCCGATAAGATAAGAATTTTCAGATTGCCAAGCCAGTGTAGAAAGCACGTGCAAGCTGAGCCGCTTACTCTAGCGGACTTTACGCATTGAGGCCTGCCCAGGCCTACCCTATACCTCCAGTCTATTTTTACATCTTCTCGCTTTTTCTTTGCAATCAATCCTGTACACAATGCGAAAAGAGGAATAGATCAATTTACGGCTAAATAAACATGCTTCCCCTCGAACAAACATCTCCAATATCTGGCTAGTGTCGTCTACTTTGCGGGGGTTCGCATCGCGATGCGAGGATGGAGACATGGGTCAAAGGGCGTGGAATACAAGCGTCTAAGGGATCACTGCAACCCTCCAACTTCTGGGGTGTATGGATTGCCATGAACCAACGCATGTCAATGGAGTTTGAAATTAGCAGTTGGAAAACAGCAGATATGCAGACAAGGGAGGCTTCACAGGCTTGCTATCCCGATTACACGTATTGATCTTACTCTTACATGCAAGGTCGCATGATGATCAGATGATGGGATTGACCTGTATCAGAGCAGTTCCTGTAAGTGTGTCGAGCAGTCGCTTATCTCAAAATCCATGCAGACACGTCGACAGGCCTTGACAGTGATCAGCAATTGGCTCGGGATATGCTTCCTCTTTACGGTTTACCGGAGACATAGCGTGCTGCACTAGATGCATGATTCCATTCATGTTCCAAAGCTGAGGTGGTGGGCTCTGTTTTTGATGCAACGCTAAACATGCTGAAAACATCCAATCTAGTTTACTCTATTTTGGTATGTTTTACCCAGCCTCTCTTATCTATGTTCTTCAATGTCCATGAACTGGGTGGTTGGTTCTCTGTTGGGAGAATTAAGCCGAGCATAAGAACCATTTCTAGCTAGGTGATGTGTTAGGCGCCCTTTCACTTATTAAATGATAAGAAAAAATCATTTCCCTTCAGACGAGTTATCGTCAGCTGTGATGTACACATAGCGGTCTATGCGTTTGGTATTGATGTCTGCCTGGTCTAGTGCTGCGATTACATGTCAGCTACACCGGATATATCGGGCAGCTCCTTTGATGTAGTAAGGATCGACATCATTCGCTGCATTAGCTGGGAACTTGTCATTTGTTCGAGAATGTTTCTGTGCGTTGCTCGCCACTCGGAAGCACCCAGACCATGTGTCCGTATTGAGTAAGATAATCGGCAAAAGGGATGGTTCGACCTGGACTGGTGCAACAGCCATTGTTATGGAGAGGCCAATGCATGACGTGGGAACGACATGTGCTGCGTGCGTGGTATTGTGAAACAAAGTTGCTGCTATTAAGTAATGCCCATGGGGAAAGCCAGCGGAGCTCGCTACTCTATCTAAAAGTCGACTCCATAGGCTCTCGACACAACGAATGGCAGACGAGGCTATTACGAAACTTTGAATTCGCGTGCAAGCAGCGCCTCGAGGGTCTTTCTGGGGTTCCCCAACCCCAGAGTATCGATTGAATAATGTGCTGTCATTAGACTCATTTCCCCAACTTGACTGGAGCTCTCATTACGACTCATCCAATGGAAGACACATAAATTTGGAGCGGGAGTTTGGGGTCTTGTTGTGGAGAGCGAAATTGCCTCGTTCCGTCGCCTCTCAAAGGTAACTTGTTTTGGCCTCCGCCACAGCATACTTCCGTCTTTTTTTTGTGGTTACCTCTTACTTGTAGCTAACACAAGCCCCATGTAGAGGGCGTGGGAAAAATTGCGGTCTACAGCACCATGTAAGCCGTCGGTTTGCTGAACCATCAAGATACGTGTAATAAGGATGCGTAAACAATGTGGCAGGGGGCAGCATATGTCACGGTTCTCGGCCGTGATGCTACGATAGGCCGGGGCATCTCGGGGCCTGTGCTCGATATGGCGAATTGGCAGACATGGGATGGCGGCTGATGAAGACTGGAGCGTGCGAATCGGCCGCCAATGGCAAGAATGATGGCGGAATTAGGCGGCCTCGAGGGTTTCCCGCTGTTCCGCATCGCCCGCCCTTGCGCTGGGATGGAGGGGAGGATACGAGCGCGTTACATGCACCTATTACAAAACATGGCCTCCCACACCTGGCAGTAGATCGAGATGTAGAATGGGCGCGACAGTTACTGGACGGGCGCGTGTCAGCTGCTCGACAGGACTTGATTTTCTAGAAGGGATAAAAATAAAAGAGGCAAGGAGCTGCTCATTCATCTGTGAATAGCAGCAGATTACGGCACAGTAATCACAAGTCCGTGGTTGGAATAGCTCCGTTAGGCAGCTTTCGAGAAGGCGCATGGAAGTGATCGCCGGCAGTAGCGTCGCCGCGCTATTCCGCAAGGGGTAACTGGAGGGAGGCGCGCTACTGCAAGTGACTTGTGGTGAGAAAAAAGTCGAGATCGCTGCCAAAGGTGGCTGAAGATGGATGGGTTTGCACAGCGGCTCGGCCCCCGTAAGGTTCGCTACAAGGCCCCCGGGGTAGTGCTAGACCTGCTGGACCTGCTGGAAACAGGGCGCTAGGCGAGTCGCCTCAGGCCACCACTGGCGCGAGTCGCTGGTGCCTGCTAGCGGCCCTGCCAAGTGCTGTGGCATGTACCTGCGCGGACAATTTGGCCTCCGTTCCCACTGCCGCTGCCAGGCCGGTACAAGACCAGACAGCGAGGCTTGCGCAAGGCACCAACTTGGCGGCCGGCACTCAGTGCCGCAAGGTGGTGTGCAGAGGTTCTGCCGACGACTAAATCCGTTCCGCTCGGCAGTGTCAAAATGGAACAAATTTTTTTCCCGAAACGAGCCAGAAGAGCCAGAAGCAACTCTCTCGACGCCACACGCGACACATTACTCGCATTGATCAACTCGCACGAAACGAAGAGAAGAGGACAGCAGAGTCAGACAGCCCCGGCGGCTTTGGTCCCTGGGCGGCCAAGCAGCGACCGGGCTTGTGCCACGCAGCTGGCCATTATCAGACTCAATGAGACCCTCACTTACTGGATACTGTCCGTGTACGGGCACTCATACGAGAATCTCGCTTGGTCACAGCGTTCGCCTCCCTCGACGAGGCATTATTCGAGCAAAACCCGGTCTCTTGACACATCGAAACTGGCCCTGAGTCGCAGCGGGCTCCATCTCGCAGAGTCGCAGCGCACGCACAGTGGACGGTCGGAGGCCCGGTGGAGATGACGATGGAACCTACAGTGGGCTGCTTTGGCTGCATCAGTGGCTTCGGTGGGCCGCGGTGGGCCGCCTAGGGCAGGGGGCCCGCTATTACGGCGTCCACACAGCGGGCTGGGAACCGCAAGCGTCCTATCACAATGACGTTTGCGGGCTGGCAGCAAGAATGCGACGAGCAACGGCGACAAAATCTTGTCTTCGCCCACGGTCCACTTGGCAGAAACGAACCTTCGCTTCCAGGCCAGAGGCCAGCACGCTCCAGTCATTTGCTTTGGATTTGCGCTCGTCAGGGTTCGGGTCCGCATGGATCCGGCTGGCACGGCAGGGTCTCGCTGCCCTTGAGATCAGGTCAATGGGCGAGATTCACCTGCTCACGATGGCTTCTTTTTACGTACAAGATTGCGGAGAAGCGTCTTCTGACAGTCGATTGTTGTTTTGCGGGGGGTCTGGGGTAGGTCCCCAAAAGCAGGAAATGGAAATAGGGGACCGCGATGATGCAAGCAGTATGCAGTCGGTATCGACAAGCTGAGATGAGCTGAGCGGACTGAGGCTGGACCGTGTGTCTGTCCCTGCTGCAGATGAATGAGCTTTGCATATCATGGCCGGAGCACAAATTGGGCAAAGAAGAGGGTCTGGCAGTCTAGATTGTCCGCCCAGTTCAAACACTCAGAATGGGCTCGCGGCTTCTCTCTTATCTATGGGGAATTCAGTGCCTGCAACACCGAACCTCGGAGCACCAGCCGGGCCTGGAATGATGGCAGCGCCTCTCGTTATAAAGCAATCGTACGAGAACCCGAACTCTGCGCGAGATCCGGTGGCCGGAGGCTATCTGGGCGGCGCCAGCCATCTTGGAGACTCTAGCAGAGGTCTAAGAGGAGCCTATCTCGAAGCCGGGAATCTTTGATACGCCCACGCCGGTGGTGGCGTCTCTGCTCCGACACCACGGCCACCCCGGTTTCGCCTCTTCTGGCGCTGCTCGCTCTATGCAGCCTTTGGCAACTCTATGGCAGGAGCTTATTCGACGATTGCTGCTTGGTTGTTTGCCCTTGCTCCAGTTTCGGCCCTTTGTGGACTGGGCTGGCCATTGATAACGAGCCCTTACCAACCTGGATGTGGACAAAAACTGGCACGTAATGGATCAATGACTGGCTGACTGCCCGCTCCTTGGGGATCGGCCTGGATCTGCACAAACCACTTGGGCTGGCTATTAAACTTCCTCGTTCGCCTCCACCTCCGCACTTTTCATCTCGCTTCCTCTCTCTTCTCTCATCCTCAAGATAAGACGGATTCGGACTATAAGACCTTGGGTGTCGTCTGTTTCCTCCCTTGAGACGGAGTGCCAGTTTGATCTTCTTTTCTTGCTCCTTTCTTTTATACCAGATACCCCATCACTCACTGTCCTTTACTCAACTCTCAGTCTTTGATACTTGATACCCACACACACACACATCATCATCATGTCTGACACATCCATCTCCCCGTCGGGGTCTGAAAAGGGCCGCCGCTACGATGACAAGAAGATCAACCCTACCTCCAATATGTTCGACGAGGCTCCCATCGCCGGCGAGACAAGCGATGAGTTCCGCGAGGATGTTGAGCGCGCCAAGGCCCAGGAGGGCGAGCAGAAATTTCACCGTCTGGGATGGAGGCGTCTGACCGTTGTCCTCATCGTCGAGGCCATTGCTCTCGGATCTCTCTCTCTGCCCAGTGCTTTTGCGACTCTCGGCATGGTTGCTGGCGTTCTCTGCTCCGTTGGTCTTGGTTTCCTCGCCATCTACACAAGTGACCTTGTCGGCATGGTCAAGATCAAGTTCCCCGAGGTTGCCCACTACGCTGATGCTGGTAGACTGGTTGCCGGTCGCTTTGGATACGAGCTCGTGGGAGCCATGTTTGCCCTGCAACTGATTCTGCTTGTTGGCTCTCACTGCTTGACCGGTACCATTGCCTTGCTCAACATTTCAGAAAACGCCATCTGCTCCCTCGCCTTTGGTGCCATCTCTGCCGTCGTCCTCTTCGTCTTGGCCCTCCCTCCGTCCTTCACCGAGCTTGCCATTCTTGGTTACATCGACTTCGTCTCCATCGTCCTTGCCATTGGTATCACCATGATTGCCACTGGTATCAAGGCCAACCACTCCGCCGGTGGACTGTCTGCCGTTGACTGGTCCCCATGGCCCAAGGAGGACCTGTCCTTTGCCGACGCCTTCATCGCCATTACCAACATTGTCTTCGCCTACAGCTTTTCCATCTGCCAGTTCTCATTCATGGACGAGATGCACACCCCTACCGATTACAAGAAATCCATCTGGGCTCTTGGCCTCATCGAGATTGCCATCTACACCATCACCGGTGGCGTCATCTACGCCTTTGTCGGAGTTGATGTCAAGTCTCCCGCTCTGCTCTCTGGCGGCCACCTCATCTCCAAGATTGCCTTTGGTATTGGTCTGCCCGTCATCTTCATTTCCGGATCCATCAACGGCACTGTCGTCGGACGCTTCCTTCACGGACGCATCTACAAAAACTCCGTCATCCGATACGTCAACACTCCTATGGGATGGGCGACGTGGACTGGGCTCATCGCCGTCATCACTCTCCTCGCTTGGGTCATTGCCGAGGCCATTCCCTTCTTCTCCGATTTGCTGTCCATCTCATCGTCGCTTTTCATCTCCGGCTTCACCTACTACTTCCCTGCTATTTTCTGGTTCGTGCTCCTCAAGGAGGGAAGCGTCTGGGAGCGCAAGAACTGGGTTCACTTGGGCCTGAGCAGTCTTTCCATGATTGTCGGACTTGTTGTGCTGGTCTGCGGAACATACGCCAGTATTGTTGATATTGTAAGTATTGGCTCTCGCTCATTAACTTTGCGTTGTTCAACAATGACTAATTCATGGCTACAGATGAACCAATACGAGGCCAAGACCGTCCGTGGTCCTTTCACCTGCGCGCCTCTTGCGTAAATCAAAATCTGTTTACTTGGCGTTACTCTTATGAACCTGTATATTTATTTATGAAGACATGTATTCTGTTTTTTTCTTGTATGATGATTTCCATAGAGTAGAGATACAATGGCTATAGCGCTTCTACTTGTTTATCACTCTGACTCCAACCCTCTGTGCAGGTAATATATGCTTATCCTTTTGACTTAATCTTTTGAGAAACTCAATTCCGTGTAATCGGAGTCTAGAATCCTCTGTTTAGACGAATCTTGCGCTGTGGTTTTAACCTTTGACGCTACCCCGTGTTTTCATGGCACAAAATGCCCGCATATTACTGCAATCGTACCGATGATACCCGCGGGTGGATATGAGCGGATCCCAGATCTCACACTCCCTAGATTCTAACGCTCAACTCTATCTTGCGCCCGATTTAAGCAAATTGCGGAGGCTTATTAAGAGATAAGCGATATGCCGTGCATGCGTCGTTATCACGGGAAAAAAAAGGTCGTGTAAGTGGTGGTGGTGATGGTGGTTGGTTGTGGTGATATTAAGCGGCCACACTTACGGGATGGCGTCGAAACGTTTTTGTGTGGCGCTGGGCCATTGTGCAGGTTGTTAAAGTGGCGTTGCTAGCGTCAAGGGAAGATGCTGAATAAAAGGATCCGGTAGATGTCAACCGGGAAAAGTGGAAGCTGTGTGTGACCAGAGCTACGAACAAGTAAGAGGTAAAGGCGCGCAATGTAAAGAGCTATATTCACATGTCAAGGCAATGTAGAACTGATTGGGTTTTTGCTGGAATGCAGGTAACAGCCTCAACGGGCTGAGATCATGTATGGTTGATTGGTTATTTAAACGATGATCTACCCTTGTCGTGATGTTTGGGCTTAGGAAAGTCTCCTCATCGGAAGGATTAGATTGGATTATCTAGCTAAAGTATATTGGACAGCTCCTAATTATTATTACATACATGTTTTTGAGTCCTTACTCATGATTAACCTTCAGGCCCGCCTCGGCCCATTGCGGTGTCACAGGCTCATGGTTCCCTGAGAATTTTTGTCCGTCAAACCATAGCTCAAATCTCAAGTCCGCGGGCGCAACGATAACGCGGAGATCAAATCTGCAAATGTAAAATTTGTATCCTTTCCGGAACCAGATGCCTCTTTTCTGTTTGAGTAGAAGCTGATGCTGTTCAACGCCTTCTAAATTGCTCCTTACTCTGCATAATTTGGTTACGCCGGCTGTTGTCCAATGGCTCTGTCAGCTTTATTTTTTCTGAGGGTGGGGTTGAGTGAGGAAACGTACCATGCTTCAAACTCTTTGGAAGAAACGAAGGCTCGTTTTGAGAGACGACTATTTCTGCGTTCCAACATCTTGTTGTGTCATCCGGTCCGAGACGGTATTCAAACGACTTTACTAGAGGAATGTTTGGGTCGATCACGTCTCCCTTTTAACAGGGCTTAGTTAAGGCGAAGATATGAAGAGGCTTTCATTATGTCTTTACTCACCTTTTTAATAACCCACTGAATCTGATGAATAGCCCATTTCTTTTTGGAATCCCACTGATCCTGTACGACGTCCTCGTCGAAATGTGTCGCAGGTGAATACATCTCTCTCACGACGATTCCGTAACTGGAGCGAGCAATTCGCGCCGCCAAAACGGGAACGTTTCCTGTATCCATCCTCTGCTGGTGATCGAGAAGAAGGCCTCTTACGACGACAAGCTGCGGATCGTGACATGGTACAACTGCGGCGCTTATGGCATTCATGTGCGGGTAAGCAATGAGTTGCTGTTGTAGTTTGTCGCGCACGTAGGCGGAACTACCGAGCCCACCGGATAAAATCATGTAGTCCTAACAAAGAGTTGGCATTTTTAATCATCATACGGTCCCTTATTCAAGCTTGGGAATACTTACCACTTGCTCTGTATGTCCATGTTCGCTCAGCCAATTCAGCTGCTCAGTTATTCGCTTCATGATACCATCAATCTGAACGTCAAATAGAGACTGAATCTCGGCCCTACTTGTTGTCAGTCTAAATTACGAGTGCGCCACTGAAGGCAGTTCCCGGGGGTACCAACATTGTGAATAGCATCCTGCCATTCTCCAAGCCGAGTCCACCATGGCTAAACTCGTGCGACACACCCTCCAATTGCAGTTTGAACACAGGTTGCATATAAACCCTTTCACCAAACTTGTGCTTCAGAATCTTGAAATGGTGACTTCTTGACAATCGAACGGCGAAATCACTGGGAAGCTGGGGCTTCACATCGGGATACCGTGCCAATCTCTCCATGATGAGTCGGACAAATGCTCTGTCAATCAGTGTCGAGCCAATACCCACTCCCTTGACGGCAGATATCTGTGCCATTTGAGGGAAATTAGGATCGCTTGATGTCACTCGCATCAGTGCCAAATCTGTTGTCCCCCCACCCGCGTCAACCGTCAAGAACAAGCTACCAGTGTTGAATGCCACCGCGCTTGTCTTGAGCGTCGCAACGGCCGCAGCTTCAGCCTCGGTGAGATCAACTTGGGCCATATGCCTCGGCCCTTCAACGCCAAAGCCTGCATCTCGTATGATACCCTTGAAGATGTTGATAATCTCCATGCGAGTCCATGTCGTGGGCACACTGAATAGAAACGTCACCGCCGAGTCTGCCCAGCCACCAAAGTGTCGTTTGCCAGTCTGCATCTCGATAGTCTCCTTGACATGGAGATATACCTGGTGGAGATATTCAGTTGCAAACATCTGGGCTTGTCTCGGATTTGTTGGAACATTGGAAAATCCACGTTGCTGAGCTGCGACTAGTGTTTCTTCATCGATGAAGATTTTAAAAAAGTCTCGTCGCATCTTGCCTGGCAATGTTTCGTCGTCATCGTCACAGAGGTAACCCCAAGATGACAAAGTTCCATCTCCATTGTATATCAAGGTTGTCGGGACTTTGCGCTCTCCTCGATCACCGCTCCCAGGCCAATCATTGACGACCTGAATTGGTGTCTTTGGGGTCATCCATGCAACACCTCAATGCCATTGTTAGTGCCACACACCTGTTGTAAAGTTGAAGCAGCTGACGATACCTGTATACGTGGTACCCAAGTCAACTGACACGGTAATATCTGGGTATTCAGCCATCTTGACATCATTCCCAAGTCTTTTGTTTGATGCAACTTCTCGTCCGAGCACTCATCGCCAGTCCCCCAGGCTATAATCTCCAAATCAAGGTACAAAGTACACCTGTCGGAGTGCCCGCCAATAGTTCGATAATTGCAATTCATCCTTTAAGAGCAAGATTGCGAGGAGCGAGGAGTGCAGCTGCAATGCTACGTTGTTGGTCGTGCTCTGTTTCAGTCACCCTTGTTCAGCAATGGATTTATCTCGAAGAGAGCCGCAATCCTGAGCTGGTCTATCCCAGTGCGGTAGCGAGGATGTGAACCCGGGCAAAAGAACCCTGCAAGCCTGGAGAAACGTGGCACTTTAGCGCCAATGATGTGAGCGAGCCGCCTCCGCAACCCGCAAATCTCAGCTGGCCTTTGATCAGCTTCTAGCTTGTAGTAGATCACTCTCTCGTTGTACTGATGAATATCCACAGCGGCTCAGGGCGATGAATCCGCCGGATAGGGGTTCATTAACTGATAGTGAGAATGTTCTGGTTTCTTGCATGGGATTCAAATACAAGATGTATGAGCATCAACACATGGCCAGTTATTCTTGGCGCAGTTCTTCATCTCTGGAACTTTCATAAGCTGTGCTTCACCTAGGTCATAGTCTTTTACAATATACCCCTATGTTTTCTTGTTCTTAGGTTTTATTATGTCGGGCAATAACGCTTATAGCTGCCACTCTCCTTGGGGGACATCCTCCACTTGGTTTCCTTGTCCCGCTACGACAGGGACTACGACGACAACAACCACTACCACATCACCATCTTCTACTACGACAACTACGACAACTACGCCAACTGCGACGTCTACGACAACTACAACAACTCAATCCTCTAATACGATTTCTTCAAGCCGCTCCCCAACCAAACCAGATGGCCTTCCTTCTGATACCTCTACCAGCGTGAAGCAAACTTCTACTGCTGTCCCGAACCCAGATTCCAGTGTTACCAGCTCTCTTCCTGCGTCTTCACAGACGGCAACGCCACTTCATCAGCATGCATCTCTCTCTACGGGCGCCACGGCCGGAATTGCAGTCGGATGCGCTGCTGCCGGCCTCATCATTGGCCTTCTTGCTGCTCTCCTACTATTCCGCCGCCGAAAGGGCAAAGACGTCGCAGACATAAGCCGCGCACCCATTCTTGTCAAGTCCAAAGAGCCTCCATCGGCTGAAATCGATGGTATTGGGCCTATTGCTGGTATCCAGCTGGGCCAGTTTCTCCTTGATGGCGCCCCCGACCAGGAAATTGTCAGCGAGTTGCAAGCTTTGAGCGAGCTCATCCACCAGCATGTAGAAGACTACTACACCCTTCAGCCAGTGGACGTCAGTGTCGGAACTTTGTCGCAGTCGCTCCAAAATCTTGGATTGGGATCAAGTGGTTTGGGGTTGACTGCGGAGGCAATTGCTACTATATGTATCAATAGCCATTCTCGTCACATTGGCCTACGCTACGTTATTTCGCGTGTTATTTTTGCAAGTATCGACTTCCACACCCGTAGCGGTTTGTCAATGCTTCCTGGACCAGCTGCTGGATTCCTCCAGTCTATCCCCGGAGCTGAATATGGTGGTAACAACAATCTAGGTATGTAGTTCCTGGGGAATTCAACGTCAAGACGAGACTAATGTGGTGCATAGCATTCTCTCAAGCCCTGCAGACATGGCGCCGCCTGTCCGCTTTCCTCCTCCACCAAAACCGCAGTCAACGAACTTCTTTGCAAGCGGATGCGTTGACGATTGCACCACAAGCTCAATTGGTCTCCAACTCTCTGAATAATCTCTTGAACGCCTTTGTTATCCCTGGAAAAAGCAACCAGCAGGCAAGCCATCTCCAGGAGGTTGCGATCGAATGCGCAAAGCTTGGCTATGTGCTTTTCTCCCACCCGGTGGATTGGAAGTTTATTTTTGAAGAGCCTGGGACTAGAGCGGCCCAAGTACGTGCAGTAATTATCTGCCCTGGTTTGGAGAAGTGTAGCGATCGCGATGGAAATCCTATACGGCCACCCCGAAGAGTTGCAGCACCGGTTGAGGCAGCCCTCTGATCTACGGATATTAAGAGGCTTCAGGGAATGCTGAGTCTCTTGGTATCACATAAATATTCTCTTCAGATATCCTTAGTAATACTAATATAAATACGCGAATCGCGAATCTAAAATGACTCGTCAGCATGGAACCTTGTCATAGCCGTCGCTAATGAACGAACTGTCGGGGAACTGGCCCACTGAAAACACATCTGCGATGCCAAACCACGGGAGAAATTATTAACCCCAATTTCTAATAAGCCGCATCTTTAGCAAAGATGCCTTTGTAGCCTTCTTATCGCCGAGTGGGGGCGGTGACTGTTGCTTGTATGCACATATTACTTCTGATATATGCATACATACAGGGATACCACTATGGCCTCATTTGGTAACCTCGCGAACTCCAGAACTTAGAACCAACATGCATATGCATGAGCGGAAATATGGAACAAATTCGGAAAGTAAAAGGGTCATTTGGAAGTAGATTTGCGCAGCTCGGAGATTTGCCCCTTTCCAGAAGAGCCATGCAAGTGCCCCTTGAAATCTGCCTCGCCCGTAGAATCGATGATAGAAGCAGGATCAAGTGTTTCATAGCCTTGGAGGTCGCCCATAGCGACGGGTCGGCTGCCTAGAAACCCTTGTGAATATCTTTGTGTGGCTATCCTTTTCTCCGAGAGGTGATAGAATAGTTGACCGATTGTGTCTAGAAGGAATGGCTCGTCCGTTACTTGACTGGCCAGTGTTCTGACAGCCTTGTTCTCAGTTGCATATACTACTGTAGGATTTCCTGTTGGATCTTTTGCATTTGGTTCAACTATTCCAGGCAGTCCTCTCATGATCCCAGATTTCCTTTACTACTCTCTACGGTAAGAAGGATGATCAAAGTCTTCTCCTCCCTTCGCTCAACCTACCGCGCGGTCAGTGTGGCGATTGATGGCGAAGATATTTCCAATGATATGCGACGCAGTCTTGAACTTGTGCGCACATGTAACCAAGACCTACAGGAGCTCATTAGGCTCCGCCATGAGCATCTCCATTTGCTCGAGAAACAGCCTCAGACTCTTGAGCGTCTCAACTCAATCATCGAAAAAGTACACAAGGGACTGCTCGACGCTTCTCGCCTTGTGGAGAAATATCGACCAGGTCTACACTCTGGTAAAAGATCACTACACACCCAGATAGCGTGGGCCCATCGGGACTCTCAAGAATTCCAGGCCTTGGGGCCAACAATGAGTCAGCACAATGCAACAATTCTAGCAGAGATTAGCTTCCTCAGAAGTCTGACCATCATCACCACGCAAAGCGAACCCGAGGAAGCCAAAGAGATTGGGATTCTTGCCTCAGATGACAAGACACTATTTAATAACTTGGAGCTTCTAGAAGACTTCTTGGGCGATGTATCAGGTACTTTGGTAGCCTGGCCAAGTATAGTGTGCATAAATTCTGACATGTTATATAGGTTCTCGGGGTATACCTCACGCATCACCACCAGCACCGCTACCGCCACTTGCCATGAAAGTTGATGCGAGAGCAAGCATGCCCAATCTACATATCAATGAGGAGTATTGTGACCTACCGGAGCCTGTTATTCCAAATATAATTCCCTATCAGCAACCACTCGCTAGTCTATTGGTGTCGCAGCAAGCGTCAACTCTCCGAACACAAAGTGGGCAGACGCACGAAGATAGTAACCAGTGTAACAGCCGGGTTGTCTTGAACGAAGCCGATCACTCTGGACTAACTCTTTTATTCGGTGATGAGCTGGATCTAAACTTAGAAGTGTCGTCCAAGATTCAGCCTGAACACTCTCGAGCACAGTCAAGCGACTCGATGCATAGAGCCTCCATACCATCGTTTTCGCAATCCTCAGTAAACGGGGAGACTGTTAATTCTACTCCATTGACAAACTATTCTCTTACCTCCAGACCATCTACTTTGTCTGTTAGCTCTCTGGGAACGTTCAAATCGCAGAGTCCCGAGCTTTCTATGAGTCGGCCGCATTTATTTTCGTTCCCGCCAACGCCGCCCAGCAATATATCGCAATTGGTTCCACGATCCACAACCGCTTCAGCATCAGAAACTCAGCAAGATACCCGGTCAAGGCCGCGAGCCATGTCATTCGCGGAGCGCTATGCGAATGTGGCCGATCATTCAGGCCATTCAGGCCAGAAGAGCGAGCGATACCGTCCATGGCGACCTTACAAAAATGAGAATGTCTATGAACTTCAGGGATCGGAAATGTGTTTAGAGGAGCATCCGTTTGCTCAATCCACTGCTTCATTATCACATAGATCAACTACTTAGCAGCTATTACCGTGCCCACTAAAATCTGTCGCTATTTGCCGTCACAGTTATCCAATTGAGGTCCTTATAGCGATTTGACGTGCTAGGTTTGTTGTGTTGTATAGGGTTTATTATTAGTCAAGCCAACTTAATGTGGCTTCCCTAGTTGTTAAGAAACTGTAGAGATCCACGTTGTTATACTAGTAGCTAGCTAAGGTACCTAGGTACCTAGTTAGAAAGTCTGACAAGTACCACTATTGTGTTAAGTCAATGTATTTTTTGGTGGTGTAAGATATAAATTGGCAATAGCCACAGTGTGGAAGCAAGATAAAGAACCATTTATAGCGCGCTGCACTTTGATAAGCGACAGCGGGGCGACATTTTAGATCGACGCCACGATCAATCTTGACCGGGTTGCTGCTGGACTAGCTGAATTGGCTTTGTGCTCGGCTATTGTCTACAGTGCTTGGCAGGTCTAGAACGGGAGTTGGCGGATAGGGCTGAGAGGGGTTTGTTGGAGTACTGCTGTATAGGTAGCTGCAATTATACCCTTCATTTGTTATATAATGCGTTCAGTGCGCGAGAGTTATATACTAAAGCGGTGGACTGATTCAAATACAGCCGCTTGATACATGTTATCTCTACTAATAGGCACCAAGCAGAACTGAGCTGCTTCCAGCTTTACGCTTATCAATGAGATGTAACGTAAATGCCATGTCAAGCTTAAATAAACAAAATTAATACCTAGGAGGAAAAACTAGCTGTTTTTATAAGATAAGATTTAGCTTCTTCAGGCTTCTCTATTATGTTTTAATGTACTGCGATGTTTCTTTTTACTTCGATGTCATTATATTGGACTTGAATAGCGCGGCTATCAATCACATTATACCTGATCTCAGGTATGTACATTTTGGCACAAAGATAGTGCTTGTTGGTAAGAGGTCTGTGAAAATACGGTTTATTGACCGGCGCCGACAGTTATCACACCGCTGTTGACCCTTATGCCGTATGATGGGTCAAAAAAGTCGCAGCACACACTTTGAGCATGATTGACAAACAGGAACCCGCCATAACAACATACCAGAGACTGCTAACGCCTTATTGACGATAACAAATGCTGGGGTAGCGAACAACAAGATCATCGTTGGCGTAGCTCGCTACGGTCGTAATTTTGGCATTGTCGATCTGAGCTTTACTGGCCTCAGTTCGATTGCTTACCCAGAGCCGTGTGAGTCTCCAGTTGGCTATCTGGCGCAGGCTGAAATATTATGGTTTACTTCCATACAGTCTCTACGTGGCACGATGGTCCTAGTAGTTCGGTATCACTATACTCCCGGACGGCACTTGGATCTTCTACTTGAGTAATGATACAATGACTTACTAACGAGATTTGTACTATTACGCTAGCTTTGGGGGTATTATAGAATGGGCTATTGACATGGCCATTTTTGTACAAGATACTGCCACGGCTACTGTGACTAATTTAGCCACTTTGCCAATTGAGGTCGTCACAATAACGTTCATAGAACCATCTGAATTTTCTTCTGACCCTTGCAGCTGAGTAGAGTGTTACTGCAACTAATGAGCTTGAATAAAAATTTATAGACTACGTGAAATAAAATCACTTGGAGTAGGTAATAGCGATTGAGAGATGGTTTTTGGGTGGTGGTGGAGGTGGAGTTGAACTGTGTATGAAGGGAAAAAAAGAGTACGGCAGCGGTAGAGCACCTTTTTTTAAAGATCGTTCTATGATACCTCAAGAAAAAAACTCATTTATCTTTTTTGCCCGAAGTCATTGGGCTTTAACGGAACACATGCAATCAGTTGATTAGCAGGACTTTGCTGACTTGTAGCCTACAGAGCAGTGATACTGCAATTTCGACATTTACTCCATTAATGAATCGAATGATAGTTGGGGTATTTAATAACGAGTAATTACCACTTTCATCAGGAGGACGAAATGCAGCGCATGTACGAGGACTACGAGGATCCGAAATACTACAGGCTATAATTCTCGCAGAAACCCCACTTCAAGTCTCTCGGCAACTTAGAATAAAAGTGGCGGTTCATGTTTTTTTATAACCTACTTCACATCAACCTGTATACATGCTACTAGCACTGATTCTCTAAATGGTGAATGCTGTCTCGAATATTGAACTTGCATAGTCAGATGTTCCTATTCTTACATTGACCCCAACAACAATCTCAGCTCTGCCTTCTTCCAGCCGCGCGCTGCATTTTTTTGAATGTCGCTTTTAAGCCCAAGGCTTGCCGGCTGCAAGATTGCCCAAAAGCACTTCAAATCATTCTATACATGTTCTTATCTCATATGGAGATTAAAGCCTCATAATTCTCATTTGAAACCGAACTGTCCATCTTCTCAATGGCGAAGTGTAGCTACCACGCGCAGTAAAAGCCTGCCTTTGGACGGTGTTACAGTAGTCTCTCTAGAGCAAGCCATCGCAGCGCCTTTTTGTACTCGCCAGCTGGCTGACCTGGGAGCTCGCGTCATCAAAGTTGAGCGTCCTGAAGTTGGCGATTTCGCCAGGAGCTACGATACGCGTGTTAATGGAATGGCATCGCACTTTGTATGGACCAATCGTTCCAAGGAGAGCCTTGCACTCGACTTGAAAACCCCACGCGACTTGAAGATTTTGAAGAGAATCTTGATCAAGGCAGATGTCATGGTGCAGAATTTGGCACCAGGCGCAACAGAAAGATTAGGCCTCTCGCATGAGGAGCTTCAGAAGACGAATCCAGGCATTATTGTATGCGACATCTCTGGTTATGGATCGCATGGACCATATCGTGACAAGAAAGCCTACGACTTGCTTGTGCAGAGCGAAGCAGGTATGCTCGCTGTAACAGGCACTGAGGCAGAGCCAAGCAAAACGGGCATATCCATAGCTGATATAGCAGCGGGAATGTACGCCTACTCCAATATTCTGGCAGCATTACTGGAGCGTGGCAAGAGCGGAAAGGGCCGCCGAATTGACATTTCAATGCTAGAGAGTATGGCTGAATGGATGGGCTTTCCCATGTACTATGCTTTCAACGGACAACCAGGCCCAAGCCGAGCAGGAGCATCTCATGCGACCATTTATCCGTACGGGCCCTTTGAAACAGGCGCCGATGGAGCTTCCGTCATGATGGGCGTGCAAAACGAACGAGAATGGGCCATCCTATGCCGAGATGTACTGGGAGATGCGAGCTTAGCAACGGATGAGCGATTTGCAAACAACACGCTCAGAAGCCGCAATCGAGCAGAACTAAAGGCGATCGTTGAGGCGCGGTTCTCTGAGGTCTCCGCAGACGAGGCTATTGATAAGTTGGACAAGGCGGGTATTGCAAATGCCAGCATGAATGATATGCAAGGCGTATGGAAGCATCCCCAGCTTCGAGCACGGAAGCGTTGGATCGAGGTAGAAACACCGAGTGGTGCCGTTCCTGGGCTACTGCCCCCTGGAGTAGACAACATTTCACAGGTCAATATTGCAGAGGTTCCAGCTGTAGGACAACACAATGAGCCGATATTTGCTGAATTTGGCGTCTCCGATGAATAGAAGATAATAACAGTAGTGTTTTACATACAAGCTATTGATGAGTGCGAAAGTCGTGATCAGTCATGCCATCCATCTCTGACAGCATGGCGAGAATATGTGTCATTGTCCTGTAACCAGAACGAAAGCAAATGGACTTATCCTTGTCTCTGCCCCATATCTCGGTGCACGTCTCCAACGTCTCGCGGATCGTCTGTCGAGGCGGTATAGCGAATCCCTGTGCGAGTGGCGCATCTCTCTGTAATAAATAAAGACTAGCTGTCAGCGCCGCGGCGAAATAGTCGAGTTTGTATAAACGGCCTAATAGATCCTGATAGACGGAATCACCACGGTGCTCGCAGAGATCTCGATGATGAACTAGGATGGCTAGACTGCACTCGAGAGAAGCCCAGTAAGAGACGGGATATCTTATTGGAGCATCAGGGGTTAGAGCATGGCAGCGATGGAGTACCATCAAGACACGGCGAAAGAAGATGTCCAGGATGGCACGTAAAGAGTCGTTGCACTCGGGGTGATCCATAGAGGCAGCCATCAGCCGTCTCATGGTTGCATTGTAACCCAGTATTTCCTCGTATGGTACTTTTGTGCCGGAATTTACTCTCGCGATTATCTTGCATATTGTTGGAAACGCATCGTATAACGATAGCCACGGACCAACTCCCTCGACATGGGGTAACGAAGCATCCTGTACATCTGGTCCCTCCAATATATCATCCGAGGAGAGGAGAGTTGGCATACCGGTAACTGCTGCTGTTTGTATGCAAAAATAGACTATTGTTACCCACAAGATACGGCCAGACTGCCATTCAGAGTAAGTCACCGCGTTCACCTCGACAGGAGTTGAAGTCGGCGGCTTGTGAAGGCCTATGCAAACAGCTAGACGAACAATCATACCCAACAGTGTCCAGCTTGCGTCATACGACCAACATGTGCCGTTGGAGAGCTGTTTCACGACGACAATGAGACACAAGGTCCGCATCACCGACATGCTTGGCCGGACCAAGAATGCCGTTTTGGAAAGACAAGCTTCAGCCGCCAGGCAAAGCTCAACCATAAGCTTTGCATCTTGGGTCACTGTGAAGCTGCCGAGCGCCAATACCATGAGATATAACGATAACCAAGAGACATCAACCTGCGTCGGGTCGTCCCAGAAACCGTTGGCCTGATCAGCGAAGAGAGCAGGATCGATGATGGGATGCACGGGCTGGTACAGGCCAAGATAGCCATCAACAAAAGATTTGCAGTGTTCTGAATGGCTGTGGATGAGGCTATAGACTTTGTCCAGAGAGGAATATTTCATCGCACCGGGACTGTTGAAAGGGAAATTGCAGGGAAGGGCAATGTCGGTATGACAGTCAGCATGAAGCACTGTCAGGTTGTTACCGTGTACAAACACATGCCCAAGATTGAGCGCTGAAGCCTCGACCTATAGCAGTTTAATGACCAACAATCGTTAGCGGAATGCCTCTCTTTGTTAATATGATGCTTGGGATCTCAGGGCGCCATGACTTCTTACCCGTGACACAAGTGTTTTCCAGTGAGTCGCGCCACGACGTCGTGTATGCCACGATGTGTAAATGTGTTTGGGATCTTCATGCGCCGCGGCGCATAGGGCATCTTGGCTCGCGTCGCTAGCTGATGGATCGCTTTCAACTCTATGCGTATATGTGCATTGTTGACCCCAGCCAGAGCTACGACATCGCGAGCACGGCAGCTTCTTGTCGCAGCGGACTTTGAGTCGATGGCATCGCGTGCAAGAGAGATGCGCGCGCTTCCTTCTCTTCACTGTTTTAAGGATTTCCTGAGCGCTGGCGATATCAGATGCGGGTGCAGATTCATCGCTTGGAGATGATGATTGCTCCGAGCTTGAGCGCGTAGGATCCCCATGTGTGAGACGCTCTGCTTTTGCAGCTGGTTGTGACGAGTGGTCGCGGAGAAATGAGCAGCTGGCCTCGGCCTGAACGCATCTTTCACATGCGGGTTTGGTTCTGTCGCAGCGAAGCTTGAGGAGGCGGCATCGACTGCAGGTCTTAATCTGCCTGATGTTGGGCATTGGAAGTCGCTGTCAATGCTGGCGAGTCGAAGAGACGAGTAGAGACGGACGCGAAAGAGATGAGAACGGACATATGCTATCAATAATTACAAGCCGTATCTCTGCGTTGGATGATTCTATGTTCGCGCGCGTCTATCGGGGTGCGGTTGTTGCAGGATCTGAGATATAGTTGTCGAGTTTCTCGTGCTTAGGAGCAGCCTGGCTTCGGAGGATGCTCGGATTTAATTATGAGACACGCTATTCAATGGCTATGAGGTGCACCAGTAAAAAGAATCTTGAGCACCATTTAAAAAATAAGATTAAATTCTCGTCATGATAAATCCGAAGTTGCCTCGAGCTTAAGTCGCAATGAGAGGCTGCTGGACAAGTGGCGCCGGATCCTGCTCGGCCGAGGATACAACCCGCTAAACACCGACTTACTGTAGGCGCTAACGATGCCTCTGGTCCGGATTTGCTACAGGCAGAAGATGCATTATCATTGGCGAAATATACAATAAGGGACCCTGTTTCTGATTCAGCGATGGCGATGATTTTGCTTGGTATCAGATGCCTTCTTGGACTCCAATCAGATGCAAGGTAACGAATAAAGGGAGAAAGAGTTGAAATGCTGGTGCGGATTAGTGATGGTGCTGGACTGCTAGAGTGGATGCGCGTTCTTCGGTTTATTATAAGATGGAAATGAGCGGCATGATATTAGACACCATGTGATAAGATATGTATAGACTCAAGCAGAAACTAAATACTTCTTATTTGAAATACAATGCTCTTTAAGAAATATTAAACCGTGCACGCACGTCAGCTGGTAAATTGGCGATAAACTCGGGTTCTGAGCCTGGAGGACCCAAGATTCGTCCATATTCTGCCATTCTGGGGATATCGCAAATGTAAACCCAAAACTTCGACTCCGAAACTCCAGTCACTTGGCTGCCCTCCCTGACTATGCGTTCAATGATTCGCGTCTTTTGCTCCTCTGAGCGACCGGCCCGCACATCTCCGCGAACCCAAATTTGGTCAACGGTGACTGGTTCCGCGTTCAGAAATTGCTGGGTGGGTTCAACGTCTTGGAACACCACCTGGCATAGATAAAAGGGAATGTTGGAATCTTCGCAGTGGGTTGCAGTGATAACTCGAGCCAGCGCCTGTTTTGCCTCTGGCGACAAGGCATTTTTCGAAGCCGTTACGACATATGTTGGCATTGTGAAGTTTGGAGGCTAGCTTTACAAAAAGTGCAGAGGGTAAATTTCGCTATATGATGTATACCAAATTGATTGTGAGTGAGGAAATCTGTGACGAACAAATCTTAACATAACAGCGATGAGCGCTTTTATATATTTCCATTTGAACTCTGCTGAATTCTAAACGCAGTTTCACAAGGCGAATTTGTTGCAATATTGATTCCAAATCAAAGGCTTTTAGTAAATTACGCCTTCAACTGGGCCCTAGCGATGTATGCCCATCTCAGTGGTTGGAGAAAATCCCAAACTGCAGAGTTTAAGTTAGTATGTCGGGTTGTTCCGCACTTCAACAAAACCGAGGTTATTGCGTTCGGCGCAACGGAGAGGACGCAAATGCTACTTGAAAGTAGGCAAAAAGCGACAAAACGGCAACTGAGCGTGTTTCTCGTAGCCAAAATGCTCATATGAATGATGTTGAAGATATTCTGACGGCGCAAATGGTTAGACGAACAGTGTAAGGAGGCTCTCCAAGAGCGGTGCCAAAGTTAAGCAAGTAATAGTATACTTTTGGGTTTCTTTGTATTTGAATAGCCAGCTACCTTAGATATTAATATATAAGGTACCTAGGTAGTTACAATTAAAGTATACTTATAAGTATTACTTGCAAGTCATATCTATTAACATATCATATACTACCTAGAGAATTTAATAGGCTTTATTTGTCTGTATATCTCACTAAGAGCTAAACATCTTCCGTTTATAGTAGGAATATTTTTCCTTGGCCTTCAGACGAGCGACTGAGAATTTAGACCTGATATCGTTGATCCCACCCATGCGATCTGTCCATTGTATTGCTCTATCATCCGTCTCTCCAACACCGTCTGTCTGTGATATCTCATCATCCATCTCTTCATCATTGTCTATCTTGCACATCATCTTATTATCTGGTATACCCATGTGGTGGTGCACAATTGTCCAGTCATTGCCCACCTCATGTAAATAGTCATCCGTACCCAGTTCTGGAACGCCTGCCAGGCTTTCCATGATAGCCGTGCGTGGAAGAGATAGTTGTTTAATCAATTCGCTGTGACGAAATTGGATGATAGAAAGGGGTCCGATATTCTGGGAGAGAACCACGTAGTCTCTTAGAGTATCCCACTGAGGATTCCGATATTTATGGGGAATCCATACAAGCCTTTTCCCACTCAATCCAATCCAAGTTGTCTCTGAGTCTCGTTCGTAACGACGTACGTTTTTGAAACGTGACATGTTGACGGTCTCGCCGGTGAGATCTAGGCCCGTTCTCGTTCGTAATACGATCCGGATACCCGTCCCTTGGCCTCTTGAGTAGTGCCATAGATCAAGATTCAACTCGTCATTTCCAATAAACTGAACGTTGCTGTTGTGGAATGCACGTTCTTTCATGTCTTTTATCCTTCTCTTATTCACCTCTTCTTCTCCTTCTTCCCCTTCTTCCGCTCCTTCCGCTCCCCCCAGCGTCCCTCCATCCACCCGATCATCAAAACTTGATAAAGTCCAAAAGCCTGGGCTAAGATTGGAACGGCGAGGATGGCTATGCAAATAATACTGGCTAAATTCTATCGCTTGAATGGCTGAAACTGATTCAATATCCCATATTTCAACCCTGGACGAGAAATTCTTATCCGAGTAGGCAATTGCCAGTCGTCTGCTGTCCCTAGAGAAGCGAAGGTGGGGATGCAGGAAACAATGTCTCTTTTCTAAAAACATCAGACATTTTCCTGAGCTTGTGTCCCATACCTGAACTCTGAGGGCGTAGGGCAAACGCTTAGATATCTTCTCGTGCTCGAGTGTGTCGGGCAAACGCACGGAAAGGTTCTGATACCTGAATGGAATGGCTAGGCGCGCGCTATTTGGCGAAAATGGGAAAGGGTCGAGAGCATATCGAAACGTGAACATGGAAGTTTTCTTCTGCGTCAAAATATTTCCTGCCGGCTTAGAAGAAACGTCCCACAGTTTAACCATGGCAGATGAGATGAAGACTAGCTTCTCAGAATCAGGGGAAAATTTAAGGATAAGGTTTGTGAGATCTTGATCACCATATGGGTGTTCAAGGAGATTAGTGGAAGTGTTTTCAAGTAGATTGGTGGAAGTGTTTGTGTCGATGTCGAGAAGTTTTATACCCGTTGGGCGTATGGACATTGATGCGACCAATTTGCAGTTAGGCGATAGAGAAACCTTCCACCTGTGAACAGTAACTTCTTCAGGTGCATGTTCGAGTAAATCTTGTACGATGAAGCTTTCTTGGTCCATCTCCACAACATTGATCACGGCATAATCGACGCTGTATATCTTCTGTCCGTCGTGGGAAAAGATTAAGTAATTACTTCTCGATCTGATGGTTCGCAAGCAACTGCTAGATGTCATGCTCAGAATCTGAATTCCGTCCGAAGTAGATGCTGCTAATAATGTCCCGTCTGGCGAGAAGGCAAAATCAATTAAACCTCCGCTGCTCTCGAATGACCATTTAATCTCCCCCGATGCTGTATCGAAAAAGGCGATAGTGCGCGATGATATACGAACGGCTAAAAGAGAGCCGTCCGGAGAGAACTTGATGTCGTTGATGTGATCCGTCGTAACATGAACTTTACTGCCAGTATCGATGTTGAAGATTTCAACATGCGTCTGATCGGCATGACCTCTGGACTGTGCTATAATATTCTTGTTGACGGTTGAGAATATAGAAAGTGATACAGGAGTGCTTGATTCGTCAAGCTGAAGCCTCTCAATCATTTGGCCTGTTTCGGTATTCCAGATTGAAGCAATGATCCTCGTGTCACTGTCATTTTTACTTTTGGAGAGACAGCCCAGTATGTTGTGAGCTGACGCCAGATATGAAATTGATTTCACCATGTTTTCGATCGGGAGCTGTTGCGTAGCTTTGCCCGTTGCAATATCCCATATCATTAACTTGTGATTTGGATAGTCAAACCAGCTTGATGCTAGCTCGTCTCTACTGCAAGGAGAAAAGCAAAATCTAATAGAGAAGTAGCGGCTTTGAGCGCGTTCTTCTCCAGGTGCAGTGCCGTGCAACACGGGCAAGGCTCGAATCAGTTTGCCAGAGAAAGTCTCCCATATGGCTATAGTACTATAGCCTGCAGACGCTATCCATGTTCCGCCGCAGGAGGCAGCGAGGTGGCTAAGATACTCCTTGTTGCCCCCGTATGTTCTAGAAGCAGGAGCCCATTCGGATTCACCATTTGGCAATGCGTGGATCCATTCCGGAGCTTCGTGTTTAAACCGTTGGCGAGTGATGCTCTTGGTTGGACTAAAGATTAAAGCCGACACATAGACTTGCAGAGGGTAATCTGCTATAGCGTTGTCAAACGTTTGGATAAAGCGGCGAGCATCCCAAACTCGCTTGCGTAGTTCGGGTATTCCAGAATTTGCCTTTTGCAGCAGATTAGAAGCTATCTGCGTGATTGAGCCACGTAAAACTTACAACCAAATGCTCCAGTCGTTGCATTGCTGCTATGCCGTCGAATATATTTCTGAGAAGGCTCAAAGCTTCTAGCCAATAAATGAACTTTTCTTCTAGAAAGGCATTTATCAATTTGAAACTCGTGGGCTGGTCTTTGCTATTGGGCATAGACTTTTCAAAATGATCAATCCAATGGACACATCCGTATCTTACAGAAATGAGTGGATCTTCGTCCAGGGCTCGCTGTGGGAGATCATCAACTGAAAACGCAGGATCGACAAGATTATACATGTCCTTCTTTAACACGCTTCTCATAGCCGAAATACACATCTCGAGTATCTCTCTGTGGACGTGTTCCGTACCATTCGGGAAGAGCCGCTGGACGGCGTGTTTGACGATGAAGTCTTTGGCAGATTGATGAACAAAGTATACAGTACTATTTCTCATAGTCAAAAATGAGCCACAATAGCCTAATACATCTTCCCAGGTATCGTCGTTAGGCTCTGTACCACCTTTGTCATGGCTGATGTCGTTGATCATGGAAGCGAATTCCGATGTAGTAAGAGGCCGGTTGGTGACTGTGGCGATAGCTAGAACTCTTCTGCCAAAATCTGATATCTTTGAATCGCATACTCTATCCATCATTCGATTATAGAGTTGGTCAAGTCCTACAGGGAACTCTATCAATTTGAAGAGATGATCGAATCGTGGAGTCCACTCGAGTTGGGCACATACTAATGCAACCCAGAGGAAAGTCCCATTTGCGTTGGTAGATAGATATTCCTCTAGATGATCAATTTGTGATTTGGTATAGCCTTTCTTGCGAGATAGAAGTTTCAGTTGATGCTGGATATACTTCATTATCGCAGTAGAAACAAATGCCGCGTTGAGCTCAAGGCTCATAATCGACTTATTTTCCGCAGTTGCCAGTGTCTCTTGAATGTCTGCATAATTGCGACTCGACACGAGCCATTTCACCCGAGACGATGAAGCTGAGCTTTGCGTTATAACTTTAAGAATTTGCGCCAAATCTGACACACACTCATCTAATGCATCGATAACGAAGATTGGATCCTTTAGAGAGTCATCTCTGAGCATCTGCTCAAATATGCGAGAAAGAACAACCCAAGAATTGGCCCCTTCAAAAGCAGATTTTCCAGACTTGTCAAACTCGTGTCTGAGGCAAGTGATGAGAGAGGGTTGCTGTAAGACTATCATATGTAGCAATCCTCGTAGTATCGCTGCAGCATTGTTGAGGCGGATATCTGTTGCTTGACAGAGAAAATAATAGATTTTGCGTCCAGTTTTTCTCGCTTTCAACTCATCTATGATACCACATAACAGCATGGTCTTTCCTTTGCCTGGATCGCCCTTGATCCAAAGTAAGCGAATTCCAGGGTCTTCAAGCCACTGTACGAACTCCTCACTTTTCGTGACCCAGATATACGCATCCCGAAGCAGCCCCCCCTTCGTCTCCTCAATACGAATCTTATCATCCTCAGGGTTTGTGATGAATAGGGCATTTAAACAGGCTTTATTCTCCTGAAGCTTGAGAACTGTGGTGGGTGATTTATCGGTTTGGGGGTAACGCTCAATTAAAGCTCTTGTGACTGATGCAGCGGCAGCGGCAGCAAAGTATTGCCATTCTGCCCATATTTGCGATTTATGGCCATCTCCATAGCTGCTCACACCCTTAACGATGATGCAAGGCAATTCGTCCCAGACTCCAGCGCCCTCCGTCTCAAAAGCGATGATGTTGTGTTTCTGAGCTAGAGAATCTCGATGAATACCGGATCTAAATGCCGTGTCGCCGGATCCAAAGCGTCCAAGAAAGATATGTGGAATTTGTGCAGAATTGGCATCCCCATTATTCTCTAGCTTGTTCTTCAGGTGTAACCGAGTTCGGGTTTTTACACATTTGTGTTCGCAGCCAGTCTGTTCGCAAATCAATTCCGTAGACTGGTCACATACTGCATAGAAGCCTTCATCCGGGCTGTAGTCGGCACACGCACATTGTGACGAGTTATAATGCCTGTGGCGATGGGTTGACTCGAAGAGAATATCGTTGGTAGAGCCAGGGTACCTGTAAGTTGCGGCCTTGCGCCTCTGCCGATACTTTGCCTCTGACACACGGCCCTGAATTTGTTGTAGGAAAACCGAAACCTTACCCTCCAAAAGCTCGTATCCCCTTTCGGTTTTAATGGTTGTAGTAAAATTTCGGATGTTTTTGTTTGCACGCCCATGCATCCGCTCAATAGTGTTCTTTGACTGAGTGCCCAGATCATACTCGATGACTGTTTCACTGATGACTACATCACCAAGCAGTAATTCTTCTCCATTTGCATCAGGAACCCCCTCGCATATCCCGGCAAGAATCAGGAGCTCAATGCAAGTATAACTCGATCGAAGACTGGCCGCTGCACTTGCTGCGGGTGCTTTGCCTGAGCTGCAGAGCAGCACCGCAACAACATTAAAATTCCCCATGCAGCCTGTGGTGTAAGTGTTGAGATCACCCCTGGCTCTGCCGAAGGGGTCGCCATCTGTGTCCCAAAAATCGTCGAAAAGAAGGCAGAGCGCATCGTATTCAAGCGCTCTTGTACATACAATGGCGATTTCGAATCCGTCTCTGCTAGTGGGCTTCGAAGGCTTGCCGGCCACCATCCTAGCAATCGAGGCTTATTCTTTGAGTGTATTTTCTTTTCTTACTCTCTCAGGATATCAGCAAGATGGATTCAAAGGTGGGAGTAAGTCTAGCGATGCAAAGACGGCCTTGAGAGGGTGTGGCAGAGGGAAACAAATTTCATGTCGGACTCCGAGCGCGATGATGCGGGCATCCTTCGACTCCTCTTTGCTGCGGCTGAAAGCTGCATGATACGTCTCTTGATTGGGAAGCATCCAACCAGAAGTGTCAAACAATGCAGGATGGTGGAGTATGCCGCAACAATACGTGCGCAAGGAAGAAACAAGGCTCTGGGCTGCAATTGGGCATCGACTCAATCCTGGCGCCGTGTACTGCTACATGTAACTACCACTAGACAAAACAGACGGCGTGATTCGTTGGACTTTGGTCTATGTGCCTTAGGCAGTCCTCTGCATTTCACGCCTTCGTCCTTATGCGATCAAAAGAACAATATTACGATCGCTATATACATCCATCAGCTCAAATTTAATATCTAAATCGCTGGGTATGTCTGTAATACATTCTTTATATAGTATTGGGCTCTCATCTTATTAGGGTTCTTCATTCCAAGAACTCGACTGCGCTAGACCTTAGGATCGAACAGGTTTAGGTGATAAAGCCTGAAGAATCCCGTTGTATATAGATCGTAAGCCAACCATCTTCTGAAAGCGCATGCTACTATTACAGAGACTATAGTGGCATATGAGACGTATGTCGTATAAAAGCTTCACAAAAATGGACGAGCACCAAGAAATAGCAATGTAGCAGACACTGCATGAACGAAGACACTTCCGCTAAAGATGAATGGAGATAGAATCGCATGTGAAGGTACTTTTTGAGTGAATATATAAAGAACTAAGAAGATCGAGCAAATATAGTAAAGTCTAGAGATAGCTTCTCGCCCATCCAAATGGCTCGCTGTGAGTGGTCGCGGAAAGCAGATTCGGAAGATGACACTCCTTCTTCTGGAATCGTATTGGGGTGGATAAGAGCCGAGAGGGGGCCCCGCCAGACGGCTAGCCAAGCAATAAATGCTCCGAACTGAGCAGGAGTAAAGACGTTGACTTCGAACATGGCCACCGGGTGCGGGCCGATTGGCCGATCCCAAAAGGTGTAGACTCTCAGCTCCGGGACTTTGAACGGCAAAATCGGTCAGTACGGTTATTGACTCAAAATGGATCGTACTGTAGTACGGCAATTTAGTAACTTACACTCTCTTCGGATGCGTTCCCATAGCTCGCGTGCATATTTGGTTTGCTCTTTGTTTTGCTGGAAATAGTAGATGTGGATATCACTTGTTGGTTACAAGTCAGCGCTTAATCACCAATGGTCCAAGCATTGCAGTACGAAAAGAGAGGGTGGCAAGATGGGAAACTCACAAGCCTCCTCTTCGGCCGGTGTCCAACGGCTCAGTGAAGGTATTATATGCCTCGCTCAGGCCCTCACGTTTGGGATTTACATAGCTCTTCCCATCTTCATTTCTCTCGTCTGAGAGTGGGGGAGCATTCTCAAAGCCAGCCAGTGGCGAAGTATACTTGTATTTCAACGGATTGGCCATTGCTAATTTGTTGAAGCTCGTTGCAGATTTGAAGAACAGTCGATGGATGGGAATAGATCTGCTGTGATGCAATTGGTGTCGTTGAAAGCCCAGTGAGGAGGTAGATGGCGTGCTTAGCTGCCGCGGAATGAAAGTGTGCACTTCGGAGCACGGCGTAATACCGAATACGCGGGTAGTATCGGGGCACACTGAACACGCTGGATCGTGGACAGAGGTATGTTGGATTTAAGTAGATGGTCCACGGGTGTTATTCAAATATTCTGGATTCAAGAGTATATGAATATGCGATTATAACCGTCTTGAGCACTGTATAAAACCATTTCCACGAAGCTGCGGTTGGATCAGCTTTTAACCACCGCTTCTAACACGGCTTGGTTGGAGGGTTGTTATAAATCAGCATGGGTATACGTATGGCCAAAATTGTGGCGTTCTCATTATCTGTCATGATTTCTTGAGGGACTGTTATTAATCCACAGATTGATAACAGAGATCATGTCTTATCAATCTCATTGCTCTTCAATGACGGAGCAATCGAGATTACTGCTGCTGGTGATCCCACTTTAGCGCTCTGGCCTAAGTGGGATGGGCGAGACGCTCGTTAGTAATGACGGGATGACTAATTAGAATCTTCGTTCTGAGATCGAGTTGATTGGGGCTGGCATAGAAGGTGTCAAAATGGGTACGAGTTGCTCTGTCCTTCATCTTTGCAAGACTTGTCGCTGGATATTCACATGCGTGTTATCCTCGGCAAGACACTCGCTAGACTGGCCTCTACCAATGGTGTTGGAGCACGAATCCTGGGCATGGCAATAGATGATGCGACTTTGCAACGCGCTTCCTTATTTACTGTCTTTCATGTAGCAGATAGAATGCCCATCTCTCTTCAATATTCTTTCATGGAATTAGTTACAAAACGCATCAAATTATGGCCAGAATAGCAATCTTTCTTGCAAATACTTTGTGCTTCGTATGATAGCTTTGATCTATTTAAAGCAGCGATCAGTGCGCTAAACTTCACTAAATATCATGTTTCCAAAGAACTTGTCAAATAGTCCTGAAGAATCGAGAAGTATATCCAATAAATGAATGTTTTAACGATATCCCAGTGCATTATACTCAATGCCAGAGGGAGAGAAATCTTTGATGATTAGATCACAGTATGAAACCAATAAGGGCCGCCAAAAATGGTCTCCTTATCGTTTTGGGCTTTAGACGTTTTACTGTATAACTGTACCCAAGTAATAAGTGAGCATCATATCCCGAATTCCGAGTAACGAACGGGCGCAAACACACTCTTAAGTCGATGGAGTTAGTTATCTTGTGGCTATAGTGCGAGCCCGCCATTTGCTGCCCTTCAGCTACCGAGACATCGCAGCCGTCGCTAAATACATGTCCTAAGGCTAATTAGAAACTCACAAAGCAGCCTAGCGGGCGGAATGTCTCCGAGTGATGTAAAGAAAAGTGCCGTAAAGGCTGATTGGCGATTCATATGGTATAGCAAGATGTCTTCCGCTTGCAGGTGAATTAGAGACCATAGTCAATTCCTGTTAAGGTCTCTGTACTCCTACAACAGAAGAAATAGAAGCCCAAGCACGCTTCTACTAGTATTACAATGACCTTGAACATGCTTCGTGGCGAGTAGAAATGGCATGACTAGCTAAGCATTAAGCTAGTGGACCCGGGAACGTTCTCCAATATCTTGGGGATGGCAATTCAGGGCACACCGGAGACTTGCCGCATCCGCGAAAACGTGGCAATAGACAGAAAGGACAGAGGTATACGCTGTGCCTTGTACTTTGCAGATGTCAAATTTCGGGGAATTTATGATTTCTGGGGAAATGTACCGTTTGAACCTATTTCTGTATACACGCTAGATGCTGGGAATTCATGGAGGGAACACCAAGACAAACGTACCTGTTTCCAGAAACGAGAGGACATTTCTGTCCTGGATAGCAAGTTCAGGGAATGTTGACAAGTCACAAGTTCCCGGGACAGCAGCTGCAGACCGTCACGGGGAGGCTCCGCGATTGCCAATAATTCGGCTATTGTGTTAAAATTCTTCATTTGCCGGAGGCAGCGAGTCAGCTGAATAGCCGCGTCCAAGCTCTCGCTTGTAGCTGCTAATGTTTTAGCACGTATGGAGATTAGGAAGCAGCATTAGCCGTTGCAAGGTCAAGGTTAATGGGTTGTGGCTATTCATCTGGTGATAATTCACCTAATTCAGTGGAGATATTGGCCTAGCATAATAGGCTAAATGGGCAAATGCGGAGAGTCTATAGTCCACAAAGTATATACATCACCCTTTTCTCGTTTGCGAGTCAACGGGTTTGCTCTCCAAACCTTGGGTCCAGCGAGCAAAAGCAGAGACGCTCAGCTCCATCACCGGCATTCCATCGGCGAAATGGTGACCATGACGCAGGTGCCGGCTTTCCGACCAAGCTAGGCATCGCATCCGCGGCTCTGGTTTGCTCTTAGTGGCAGGGATCCATGGGCCAAGTCAGCGTGGGGGGTTGTGATGCTCCCCAAATGAGGGCCTTGGACCGACTCATCGCCAATCATGCGGAGGGAACCAGCACATATGGTCCGAGGCCTCTCGCTTCTGAGCCGACAACAGGCGAAGACTGAGAGCGGTGGTTCGAGTTGTTTCCCGCTGTATTTGCCTTGTGTCGAAATGTCTATCGTTATAGAGTAGGCTACATGTTGACGACTGACTTAAGACGGGGAAAGCATCCGGGGAAATAGGGAAAAGGATCATCCAAGCCGGTCGGAATAAATGTGGACCGACTCAATAGCCGTTTCTACACGTATTGTCTAGTGCGGAGAAGAGAGCACAGAACGCCTCATATACCTGATGGCGTCGGTGTGCCATCCGGTCTCCAACTTTTCTTCCCTCCTTGTTTACCTGTCCCCCGCCTAAGGAAAAAAGTTAGCACTCGTAAAGTAAAGTGACCAGGGTGATCTGCAGTCTAGAAGGCAAAGAAGAGAAAAGGGCAGAAAAGGCGTCCCCACATAGGGCGGCGGCTCTTGTGGTTTGGAGAGAAAATGCCGCCAAAAGTGGCGTTACTGTATCCCCATTCGAAGAAATTTCTATACTTGGCGTGATCTATAGAATGAAGAGAGAAGAAAATTGCATCGTATGTTAGCTGTGCAATCCTATTGAAGCGACGATTGGATCATAAACGTAATAAGAAATTAGAGTACAAGAAAAAAACTTCTTAGCAAACTCCATCAGCTCTTCAATTCCCAGGCCGCCGCCAATAGCCACCGACCTTGACTCAGCTTCCCTTCAACGACTCCACCGTTGTGATGCATCCAGTCAATCGTTTCTTGCAAGACAAGCTGGGGATCCCCTTTCTGGGCGGCCTAAGCTTGAACTAGGCTGCTTGCAAACGGGGATCTCTTCTCCATGTCTCTCCATACCTCCATACCGCCGGGGAAAAGTTTGGGGAGAACAAGGACCATCGGCTCTCAGTTTAAGCGGGGTTTGGGGTTTGGATACAACGCTGCTGCTTGTCTAGATCGCTGTTTGGCCATGTACTCCCCTTGTCCGGGCCGGCCATGTGACATATGAAGAAGTGCTGCGAGTACATACGGCATGCGCCTGTTTGTCATATAAAAGACTCTGCCCGCGTTGCATCCCACAGAGGCCTGGTCTTACTGGTTGTATAGGAATCGTCGTTTTGATACCCCCAAAGCTCGTTGTCAGCTCTTCTCACGCTCACAATGACCGACGATATTTCCCGGGCCAACGAGCCGGCCTTTGACGCCGAGAAGCAGAACATCCAGAATCTCGAGCACACCGTCTCAAATGACTTCCCAGTGCCTCACCCAGCGGCCGCCATGGACCCTGCGCGGCGAGCCCAGGTCGAGAAGAGCCTCAAGCGCAAGCTCGATGCGCGATGCTCGCTCTTCATCCTCATCTACATCATGAACTACCTGGACCGCAACAACATTGGTGCTGCCCGTCTCAAGGGTCTGCAAAAGGACCTCAACCTCAACGACACCCAGTACGCGACGTGTCTCAGCATTCTCTATGTTGGATACATTCTCATGCAGGTGCCTTCCAACATGTTCATCAACCGCATCCAGCGCCCGTCTCTGTACATTGCCTGCGCCATGACTGTCTGGGGTCTCATCTCGACCCTGTCCGGCATTGCAAAGGACTTCAAGGACCTAGTCGTCATTCGATTCTTCCTGGGCTTCGTCGAGGCTGCTTTCTTGCCCGGTGCCCTGCTTATTCTGTCCAAGTGGTACACTCGCCGCGAGCTGACCACCCGCAACGCCCTCCTCTTCTGCGGTAACCTCATCTCCAACGCCTTCTCGTCGCTTGTTGCCGCCGGAGTCTTGTCCAACATGCAAGGCGTCTTGGGCCATGCCGCGTGGCGATGGCTGTTCTTCATTGAGGGTGCTGCTACCATGGCCATTGCCATTTCAGCTGCCTTCATCCTGCCTGACCTGCCCACCAATGCTCGTGGCTTCACCGAGGAGGAGAAGCAGGTTGCCCAGCTCCGTATGCTTGAGGATGTTGGTGAAGCAGACACCGATTCCAGCGGACAGGGCGCTTTCGACGGTCTCATCATGTGCGGCAAGGACGTCAAGGTCTATCTCATGATGCTTACACTGACTGCCTATGTCGTTGGTCTTTCTTTCAACGCCTTCTTCGTAAGTGCATTTCGCGCCTGACAACTTTTAAAACATGGCAACGTGCTAACTGTTTTCACAGCCAACCTTGACTGGTACCCTCGGCTTTGCTTATGTTCCCACCCTCCTCATGAGCGCCCCTCCTTGGGTCTTTGCCTGTCTCGTCTCCCTCGTTGTTTCGTGGAACGCCGATCGTACGCAGGAGAAGGTGAGTCGCGATTATTTCATATACCTATACATGTATTTTTGAGTCTAACATCCATTCTTTCAGTTCTTCCACATCATCTCTCCCATCATCATGGGCGTCATCGGCTTCGTCATCTCCATGTCCACCCTCAACCACGCCGCTCGATACTTTG